TGTAGAAAGACACCATAACCGCTCATATCGGTCAAAATTTCATTCCATTTACTACTGGTTATCGAAATATGAGATCTTATGAAATCTACACATTTATCTTTCGAATATGACGTGCTTTTAAGCGTTATTTCTCAATACACAATCGATTTGAATGCAAAGCAAGACTGCGTGTTCGATTGGTGTTTCAGTTTGTGCCTAAAAGACGCATGTAATAAAATTGAAGAACATGGAAAGTACGTCATAGAGTTCAGAATTTACATTTTGAATCGACTACATAAATAATATTTATTTTTACTTTCCAGAACATTCAGACCTAGTTTGTATCAGCAATTCTCAGGGTTTTCAGTGTCTAAAATTATCAGACATGAATTTTTAATTAAGCGAGACATAAATACGCGATAAATACGCCAGAAATAAATTTTAAAAAATATGTCACAGACAAATAATTTCAGTGAGACGGGGGCACGGATATTCAGAAACTCTGGCTAAATTAAAGCGAGAGTTAATGAATTTAAAATAAAGCACGTGTTCAATTATGGATGTGTGCTACATCTCATCTATTTGTTCGGAACTAGGCATCGTGCATAGCGTTAAATTTCATTTACTTCAATGATGAGAACATATCGTCGCAATTTATCAGAAAGGCGTGCGTCTCGAGGTTATGTATTATAACATATATCGACCTAATGGCCGCAGTTGAAAAATGTTTATTCTCTAGGAACTCGGCGTTAACCTGCCTCTTTAACTTGCCAGGTTATCAGGCGGAGTTGTCATGCAGTGTTAACATGCCACGGGCCACGCACAACTTTCTGTTTAACTAGTATGATAGTGTTGAATTTTTAGCAAGTCAATTGAATTTTTAACAAGTCGTACGTCTTAGTCGTCTTTTAACAAGTCGTACGCGATCGAAGCACACGGTCGATGGTAGTGCTACGCTAAGTGACAAGCTACAGCTGCACTGCATATCAGGTGCCTAGACGCCCATCACTCAATCAGACTTGATCAAAGAAGTTAAACGTTATTTTCTCGTTTTATCTTATTTAATTGCGACACAGCAATGTAATAAAATAACTGAAACTGATAAAAAATATAACTCAGTACTCACTGCAGTGAGTGACAGAGAGCGCATTTTCTCATCGACGAAAACGTGAAGTCACGGACGGACGGACATGGCGAGCACAATAGCGCCTTTTTTCCATAAATGAGAAAATGAGCTAAAAACGACAAAAAACTCGATTCAGAGACTCAGTTTAATTCTCCTTAAAAGGGCTATACTGCGTTGAGTTTTTCTCAGCAGACATTCGCATTCTTGCTGGTCGAATCGACGCTGAAACAACTACCTATTACGACGTTGGGATCGCGTGGTAAAAAGGCTTAGAATAAAAATTGAAGCAACGTCATTCACGAAACGTTGTACTGGCGTTACAAATGCAACGTCGAATCAATGTTGCTAAAACGACGTTGCTGCAACATCAAATTCTCTGGTTGAATAGTTGTTGAAGAACCAACTTTTTACGCGTTGGGATCGCGACGATAAAAGGTTTAGAATGAAAAGTACAGCAACTTTATTCTTGAAACGTCGAACTGACGTAAAATGCACCGTTGCAACTGGAATTCATTATCGACGTTTTATCGTGACAGTTACATTAAGTTACATTACATGAACATATTATTACAGTGAGTTGCATCTAATTAGATATAAGCTTACTATTTGCAACCCTATCTATTCTCTTTCCTTTAATTCTCCACTGGATTAACAATTCGATCGAAGCAGGATTTGAACCCGGTATCGCTGCAGACCGCGCGACGCATAGCCACCTTGACTACGGTAGCTCGCGTGCATAGGAAATAACAATAAGCTAAATAATTGTTTAACTCCGTCAAAATTGTAATGCATTCTCTGGTCATTAATCGTACACGTATATATATGTATATCATTCAATGTTGGTGTGATAGCATTAGTTTCATGTCAGTAAATAACTAAACATTAAACGCACTTATATAGACGTTTTTCAACATTGAAATATGGTCATTTAAAGTCTTTTTAGTGTTGGTCACATGTCGACGTTTATTTTACATTTCATTTGGTTGTTCAGTATTTCAACCTGAAATCAACCTTGATTCAACGCTTAAAAATAGATCAACAATCAACGCACCAATATAGACATTTTTTCAACTTTGAAATAAGGTTGTTTTACGTCTCTTCCAGTGTTAGTCAGTTCGACGTTTATTTGACTTTTAATTTTGATTCTGCACTTAACATTGAGTCAACGTTCAAAAATTTAAAATAGATCAACATTCAACGTACCAATATCGACGTTCTCTCAACGTTTAAATAAGTTTTTTTACGTCTCTTCAAGTGTTGGTTAAATTTCGACGTTGATTTGACTTTTATTTCTGGTTGGTCAACATTTCAACAAGAAATCAACCAATGATCAACGTTGTTTAAACGTCATATGCCTGCTGGGTTATTACTCCTAAGCCTTGCTACTGAAACTATACAACAATATTTGGTATTCCATGCAGAATTGACCGTTCTCAGTCATTTTCCAGTTATTAGAATTTCGAGACATAACAAGATTCTTGGGTAGTGGGTAGTGAGAGTAAGGGTAGTGGGAGTAAGGGTAGTGAGAGTAAGGGTACTGAGAGTAAGAGGGTACTGAGAGTAAGGGTAGTGAGAGTAAGGGTAGTGAGAGTAAGGGTAGTGAGAGTAAGGGTAGTGAGAATAAGGGTAGTGAGAGTAAGGGTAGTGAGAGTAAGGGTAGTGAGAATAAGGGTAGTGAGAGAAAGGGTAGTGAGAGTAAGGGTAGTGAGAGTAAGGGTAGTGAGAATAAGGGTAGTGAGAGAAAGGGAAGTGAGAGTAAGGGTAGTGGGAGTAAGGGTAGTGAGAATAAGGGTAGTGAGAGTAAGGGTAGTGAGAATAAGGGTAGTGAGAGTAAGGGTAGTGGGAGTAAGGGTAGTGAGAATACGGGTAGTGAGAGTAAGGGTAGTGAGAGTAAGGGTAGTGAGAGTAAGGGTAGTGAGAGTAAGGGTAGTGAGAGTAAGGGCACTGAGAGTAAGGGTAGTAAGAGTAAGGGTAGTGAGAGTAAGGGTAGTGAGAGTAAGGGTAGTGAGAGTAAGGGTAGTGAGAGTAAGGGTAGTGAGAGTAAGGGTAGTGAGAATAAGGGTAGTGATAGTAAGGGTAGTGAGAGTAAGGGTAGTGAGAGTATGGGTAGTGAGAGTAAGGGTAGTCAGAATAAGGGTAGTGAGAGTAAGGGTAGTGAGAGTAAGGGTAGTGAGAATAAGGGTAGTGAGAGAAAGGGTAGTGAGAGTAAGGGTAGTGAGAGTAAGGGTAGTGAGAATAAGGGTAGTGAGAGTAAGGGTAGTGGGAGTAAGGGTAGTGAGAGTAAGGGTAGTGAGAGTAAGGGTAGTGAGAGTATGGGTAGTGAGAATAAGGGTAGTGAGAATAAGGGTAGCGAGAGTAAGGGTAGTGAGAGTAAGGGTAGTGAGAGTAAGGGTAGTGAGAGTAAGGGTAGTGAGAGTAAGGACAGTGAGAGTAAGGGTAGTGAGAGTAAGGGTAATGAGAGTAAGGGTAGTGAGAGTAAGGGTAATGAGAGTAAGGGTAGTGAGAGTAAGGGTAGTGAGAGTAAGGGTAGTGAGAGTAAGGACAGTGAGAGTAAGGGTAGTGAGAGTAAGGGTAGTGAGAGTAAGGGCAATGAGAGTAAGGGTAGTGAGAGTAAGGGTAGTGAGAGTAAGGGAAGTGAGAGTAAGGGTAGTGAGAGTATGGGTAGTGAGAATAAGGGCAATGAAAGTAAGGGTAGTGAGAGTAAGGGTAGTGAGAATAAGGACAGTGAGAGTAAGGGTAGTGAGAGTAAGGGTAGTGAGATTTAGTATAGTGAGATTAAGGGTAGTGAAGTAAATGTACATTGGGGGTAAGGGTGGTGAGAGTAAGGGTAGTGAAGTAAGGGTATATTGGGAGTAAGGGTGAGGAGAGTCGTAAGTATTTTCATATCTATTGAAATTGAACCATTCAGAATCACTCGAAATTGAACCATTCAGAATACTTGAAAGAGACGTAAACTAGATGATGTCGTTTTCATTTTTTGGATGAAGTTCATATATATACTGGGATTATCGAGCTACATTATCCCATCCACCAAATTTCAATGAAACTATAATAAATCACCTGGAAAATACAGGCATTTCTATGCGGATTTACGCTTGACATAAATTTGATGCTCGCAAATTGCAAACCATTCCATGCAAGTGTTGACCTGATCTTCGTGCCCTCATCCGTACGCAGGCGTCATGATAATATAATAATCTATATATATACACAGTACATATATAATATAATCTATGAAATATATTTGATATATATAATATATATAACATTTGATATATATACTTGATAATGGTTGCCTCAACCACCATGCAGTGACTCTGATAGCCAGATCATGTACTGTGACGACGAGAATATAATGGAGAATATACTAGTCATAATTGAAATGAACGAACGTCATTTTTGCTTCATGGATGTTTGTCTGTAGCGATCGATTGGATTATAATTATACGCCAATTTGCTAGTGAAGATATGCTCTGTAATTTGTGAACACTGCCGCAAGGCCTTGTGCGGGCCTTGTGACTCTTGGAAAGCATTCCCAGTCGCGACATGAAGTCAGTACAAATCGGATGCTGTACTTCTCAACACGCGTGGGACTAGCAAACTATGTTAGTAAGCTGCTCTTGTTTTCTGTACCAAGGGACAAATAGAAGTGCGAAATAAACAGAACTCCTGGAAATTTCGAAATACTGATTGTATACTGCACACTCTTAATGTGAAACAAGCATTTTTTCTAGAAAATTATAGACTCTTAGATTACAGATCTAGGCTGTCCAAGCCTTTGAAGATTCTTCATAAAATGAAATTATGAATGCAGGAAAATAGACAAATAAAAATATCACTTTACACAAATTTCAAGTCTTTACGCAGTTTTCGCAGGAAAATCAAGCCCAGAAAGATGGGCTTGCGGTTGCTTGGGGCGCTCGGGGCGCTGCTGTGCGTCTGCTGCAGCATCGAGGAGGGCTCAGCTTATACGTTCAGGACTTTCATGGGCGCGGAAATTGCCGCAACTGCGATCTCGGGCAGCGCGGTCGTGCAGCGTCCTTGTGAGTTTAATTAGATGTTATATACATAGCATGAAAAATTATTCGCTTTGTTTTCGTATTCGTTTATTTTATAGTGTGAAACATCGGCCTATGATAAATTGTGAGATCAATAAGTAAAAACTTCTAATCACTTCCCATTGACCGTATAATTGATGAAAAGCGTGTAGTCAAAATTGATGGCAGTTGTCGAACTAAGGGAAACACGGCGTGGTAAATCACGCATTTAAACATCAAACAGTATTTAATTTTCAAAGAAAACGCACTGAAATCATGCGTAATTTTGATACATATGGTAAATTCTCATGAACAAAAGTTGGAGGAAGAATTGTGTAAAAGTATTTCCTTCTCCAGGCGAGTGTCGCGCGCTGTGCGGGGACGGATGCGTCGCGGTGGCCATCAGGCGTCAGCCACCACGCCACTTCCACTGCTCCTTCACTGACAAAACCTTCGCTGATGTCACCACCGGACTTACGGTCCCTGCGCTCGACAGCAGGGTTTTCTACAAACGTAAATGTAGTTCCATATAAATATATTACAAAATTATAAACTCGAACATGTAAATTGTAACTTCAAAAAAATTCTTCTCACGTCATTTCATTCAATTTGCACATGAGCATAAATTTAGGTTGAAATTTGCCAATTCCACTATTTAGTCAGTCCCTGCTTATCTGAATATTTCGTGATGTGTGTTAAGCCCTGAAAAGCGCACTGCACTCAAGTTCTGATATTAATCAATCTCTACACACATTTAAATATTACCCAATAAATCACATGACTGTAGAATTGTTTATTAATAATATATTTATTACCTTTGAGTTCAAATCTTCAGATTTTTTAGTTCTAACAATACAAGATTCCTCATTTATTTATTGAAAACTCATTACTACTTACAGATTTTTACTTATGTATATTTTCAGATTTAAATTGGCCAAAAAACGAATTTTAATTCTATCCATGTACTGGTTTATAGCACAGACGCATAAAAAAATGAAAACTATGTAGTAATTTTTAACATAATTTATATTTGGGAACGAGGCCCGGTATGCCTGCCTGGCTTCACGCTCGTGGACAACGTGGGCTGCATTTACGTCTCCACCGTCGCACTGAACTTCACCGCCGCCGCCGCGTCCTGTCCCTTCGACTCCCAACTCTTCACCGCCAACTTCCTCATCGACTTCAACGCCATGCGGGAATACCTCTTGAGGAATTTCTCTAGTAAGTTGTAGGGTAAAATTCAGGAATCATCCAACTCCACGCGATAAAAAATGGTACGTCTCGGACGTGATAAAACAGATCTGTACTCATGATCAGGCTTATTTATTTGAACTACCTGTGTCACGATGAGCATTGTTCCTAGAGTCGTCATATATGAGTGACCGGGTGCCGTCGACTTTTACCTCTTCACTCCTCATTTTCGATTTAATTCCACGTCATGCACGATTACCTCGTGAATACCGACCGTAAGTCCGGAATGGACAGTGAGAATGCCAGTAAATTTTACCCTTTTCAGTTTATAGCCTGATTTTCGAAAATAATTGTGGAGTCGTAAATTCATCGGCAGCTGGCAGCAGGTTTTAAAATCAGTCCAGCTAACAATGATATTTAACCGCTCAAATTACTCAAGCCTATGCCTTGGATTCTAGCAACTTCTGTGAGAATTCTCGCATCCTAGAACTAAATTACAAAACCTATTATTTTTTGCTTTTAAATATTTCGTTTAGAAGGCTTGAGCATAATTGCCATCAGTGCGCTCACATTTTTCAAAAAATATTTTAAAAATTTTCAATGTTATCAAATTGTGAAAGCCTTTATTTCATCCATCAAATCTTCAAAATACCAATTTCCAGAACGCAGATGGTTTACAACTTTACAATGATGTATATGCACATATCATAATATGAATGATTTGTATACACACATCATTATAATCCATTACCCGACTGAGCCTGTTGAACAGAACTAAACCGTCGGCGAATTCGATGTACATGAAAAACGTATTAATTGTACGACTCGAATGAAGACACATATCACTACAGTTCTTGATTAAAAAGAAAATCTTAGTATTCATGTGTTATTTTCTCAGCCTCGCCAACGCAGTTTTGGATTGGCCTGATCCATGCTACGGACTCCACTTGGCAATGGCTCGGAGGCGGAACCGTCGCAACCACTCACCCATCGCCATACTGGGGTCAATATGACCCAAATGGATTAGCTACAGTGCCTAATTGTGGGAGAATGTATCTTAATCCTGGATTGAGTTACTTTTATCATCTGGCCGATGCACCTTGTGCCGCAGCCTGCAAGTTTCTGTGTAAGCAGATTTGAAGCCAATGGCTTGAAATGACACAATGCGCCCCTTTTGCCAGCAGCTAACCAATAACTGTGTTTATTCTGGCGCAATACCTTGAAATTATCAGAGTCGCTTGCATACCAGCTATTCTTAGCAAACAGTAAGAACCAAAAATTGCACCACTGATACGATACCCAACCTCACGCATTAAAAATAGAATAAATTTATGGGTAACTCTTGCAGAAGGCTGATCGCTGTTTCTCCTATATCAGTGAATAAGTACGTTTTATTTATAGCAAATCATCGTTGCAATGGAATCGGTATTCCTGTCACGCATTCCCAATCATTGTTTCGTAACCAGAATTTCCAGTCATGGCGACATTTCCCTGATCCCGTTAATTACTTCGCAGCCAAAAAATTTTGGGCATGACTTACAATATTTACGAGGTGATGCATTGGCGGCTTAAGTGAGAGCTGAGCGAGACTCAAGCTGCTAAATTTCGTTTACTTATTAATCATAAGTCACAAGGACGCACGCATTGGTCTGCGATGCGTTGCAATCTTCAAGTTAATTCCTACAAATGTCTTCAAAGTTCAGTTGACATTAGATTGAATTTCGATCTTGCAGAAGTTTAAGTATTTTTCGAGTATTAAATTTCGAGTATTATTAGTATTAGTATTTCGAGTATCTTTCGAGTATTAAATTCTCAGTTCCCTGCCTGACTTCACTTTTGCCTCTCTACTTGTCTTATTTTCGAACAAGAAAATTTTCAGCTCGAATATATGTCAGTGTGTATTGCTCATATATTACTTCTTTATATTATTATAGGCGATTGATATATATAGCCAGTATAATGGTATTTATGACACTCTTTGATTTTGACATCAATTTAAATTTTACTATTATGTGGTATAACAGATATAACATTAAAATTGTTTCTAAACGTTCCAATTTTCTAAAAGTTTCTAAACGTTCGCAGGCCAGTCTTTCGCTCCCGTGATTCAATTGTAATGAGAATATTAGACGCCAATAGCATCATATTGGATGACAGTCATAACAACTACCACTAAATGATGAAATATAGTTATAATAATAATGACTCTCCACGTATGCTACAAATAACGTTATGGATCCAGGTAACCTCTCTGTGTCTTGAACGTCTGGTACAAATATTATTTATCTCAAAGTTGTATTGTCAATGTGTGGGATATTAGTGCAAAGCCAACCTTATTTCGCTTCGACGAATAATTGAAGATTTCTATGAACGACAACAAAATTGGGAACGAACTTTGGTCATTATATTAATTTATATAAGCCTTTACATTGACATATTAGTGCTTGAAAGAAAAATGCTTCTAGTTTTCTGGCACGGTTTCTTTCCATTCTTTAAGGAGAAAAGTTGCGGCAACATTTGTGTGTGAAACTGCACTGCAGCACAAACTATATCTCAAGAAATACTAAACCTTTTCGGGAATATTTTTTCTTTACTATACTGCAAGCGCTCTGGACGCATTCATCAAAGAGATGAACTAGTAAATATAAGACGTAGCCAACTCAACTGGCGTCACTTGCACAGTAAAATTTGAAGTTCTCAATTTCTATGGATATTCTTGCAGACGATTGATGATGTTATAAAGTTAACCTATTATTTGGAAATTTTTTTTCCGATTACTATCTAAAAATGAAATTGAGTTGAAGTAACTGCACATTTTTAAGCACTAGTATGTGGATTGAAATAATATGAAATATAACGGCAACCGCAAGTGTATCTGATATGTTTTATTTCTACCTAACTTATGCATAGATCACTTCAGGGTCTAATAGAGGCGCTTCCTGCCAGCATTGCAAACCGCAAACAAATTATCTACAAGTCTTTCAAATGAACGTGTTCGAAAATCAACTACGATGCATTAAAATATTGAACAGTTCCGGGTCATACAGGAGCGAAAATTGCTGACGATCGTTGAGTTCAGGGTAGTGGGAGTGAGGGTTTTGGGAGTGAGGGTAGTGGGAGTGAGGGTAGTGGGAGTGAGGGTAGTGGGAGTGAGGGTAGTGGGAGTGAGGGTAGTGGGAGTGAGGGTCATGGTAGTGAGGGTAATATTGATGAAGGTGAGCGCAGTGATGGTGAGCGTAGTGATGGTGAGGGTAGTGATGATAGTGAAGGTAATGATGATAGTTATAGTCAGTATTGTGAGAGTAAGGTTGGTGACTGTGTTTCATGTTCATGTTTGGTTCAATTTTCCACACGAGCCAAGTCTCAATTGTGCTCGGCTCAGGCGCCTGCAGCGGCTGGTCTCCAAGACGACGCCTTCGACCCTGTCCATGAAACATTCTTGTGTGGTGCGTGACAGTATGGTTTTATATTCAATTAAAAAGCAAACTAATTTTCCTGACTCCATTAAAAATAATTGGAGATAATAATAATTATAATAATAATAATAAATAATAATCATGCTGCGTACAACACGACATGGAAATTGTTTGGGGGCAAAACCATTGAAACGGCTAAACCTTCGCTGTGCTGGGGCTATTTGGAACCGAATGTAATGTACTATGAAGAAGGCACTGACTATGCGGCACTGGCATATGTGCAATCCAATAATTACTTCTACCACGTGGCCGATCAGTCCTGTGTAAACCATACGAGTTTTGTGTAAGCAAAATAATTTGTAGTATTCCGCATTGTTTTGCATGCATCTCGTTTGCAACCAGTAAATTTGTAACTGATAATTTTTTGGTGTAAACTAAAAATTCAATAAATCAACAGAATCAAACGCTTTACGATGCTTTAAATGAGGAAATCTGTAGTTCAGGATCAATGAATCAGATTTATTGGACTTAAAATTCCCGCATAAACATGTTAAATGTTTATAAAGTGATATAAATGTCATCAGTACAAAAATCAAATAAGCAGCTTAATAAATACTTCCGTTATTTTTTATCTCTCTTCTCCGACTGAAGGAACACATTCAATAATGTGACGTAGACACGCACACAAAAAAAATAAGATTCAAAGTATTACGAGGCAATGATTATTTAGTAGTAGCATTAATTTCTGAGCATCAATTACAATTAGCAAGGTCAATAATTCCTCATTAACAACGCACGTCTGGCGCAACTTGAGGTACATGAGTGGTCAGGTCTTGGCTGCTAATAGCAAAGCTAATATCGATCTTTCAGACTCGTCTGGGAGCGATTGTCGCTTTCTTCACGACTTCGGACTGAAATATTTTAAAAACTGAAAAGAACATGTGCCTGTAAAGACGAAGAATGTAATAAAAAAATGTATTCATTTTGAATTATTTTCTGATGTAATTTGAATCAGTTATATCTTTTTTGAATTTATTAGAGAGCAATATTCTGAAGCCTTGAATTGATTGAATGTAATGAAGCATTCTGCATGGGTCATGGAAATTTGGTCCCTGTCCAGGAATTACGCTATTTACTATGATATTGCCTCTTTATTCAGATGAATCCGGATCTATTAATTTAAATACCCACACATTCTTACTAGACCCGACCCTTATTTCGATGTTCAATTCGTGTGTCTACCATCAATACGTTCATATAATTACCATCAATCTTTGCTTTGTATTACCCTTAACCAATAGTAGTAACTACTTGAGAATCGTTCTTTACTTTTTAGATTGTCTACTTTAGATTGTCTACTCAAGTTCTTCTATTATAAACGAAAACATGCAATAATTAAGTTTATTCATTTGGTAGATTGCACGCGAGTGTATCATTTTTTGCCAAAATAGAGTAAAGATCAGCCGTTTGTAGCTGAATTATTTTTTAGTTTGATTATTTCGAATCAGCTTCAAGAATAAGTAACCTCGAAGCAATGTTTTAAAATATTACATTAAGGTTGTACAATTACATATCTTGAATTATATTGCAATCAATCATCAGCTGATCGTGAATTCAGGGCTGTTGCCAATGGCAAAAAGCTCTCATCTGATATGCAACAATGACTCTTTACTCCCAGTGACCAAACTATAATTAAACTAGAAAGTTTTCGATAAAGTTCATCCATATCAAACACAGGAACATGTACATCAAATACGAGTATATTGTGTTCATGCATGCAATGCTCTTATGCACCACGTCAGTGAGCTGTTGACGTCCGAGAAAGGAAGTATCAGCTACCTTATCAGCGAATAAAATATAAGAATGAGTTCCCAAAACGTCTGAGAGCGGAATACCAATTCATTCGCTTCTCAAAGATTATTTCCTTGTAATAATAATGATGAACTTAAGAAATTTCATAAAATAATTAAATATTGCAAACAAAATGTAGCATTGCCAGTCATTCTGCCTCCAACACTCATAATAATAATTGATCATGAAGGTTAAAGTTGTCTCCAAAACATTTACCAAAATGTTACGAGACACCGAAGTGACCTGTGCTTGTATATGAATCTAACTTTCTTTTTGCAGGTTAATTGATCTATCCAAAATGAACTTGCGGCTGCTTGCGGCGCTCGGGGCGCTGCTGTGCGTCTGCTGCAGCATCGAGGAGGGCTCAGCTTATACGTTCAGGACTTTCATGGGCGCGGAAATTGCCACAACTGCGATCTCGAGCAGCGCGCTCGTGCAGCGTCCGTGTGAGTTTAATTATTTGATATTTATATATAGAATAAAACATTAGTCGTTTTTTTTCATACTACTTTTATTTTCGTGTTGGTTTTGTTTCCGTATTCGATTTATTTTCGTATTCGTTTTACTTTGGTATTCGTTTGTTTTCGTATTCGTTTTCTTTTATAGTGTGAAGCATCGGGCTATGATAAATTGTGAGACCTATAAGTAAAAACTTCTAATCACATTCCCATTGACCGTTAATTGATGAAATATGCGAAGTTGAAATTAATAGCAGTTGTCGAGCTAAGAAAAGCACGGCGTGTTAACTTTAAACACACAATGGAACATCAAATATCATATAATTTTCGTAGAAAACACCCTGAAATTACACGTAGTTTTGGTACATATGGCAACTTCTCATGAACAAAAATTGAAGGGAAGAATAGTGTAAAAGTATTTACCTTCCCAGGCGAGTGTCGCGCGCTGTGCGGGGACGGATGCGTCGCGGTGGCCATCAGGCGTCAGCCACCACGCCACTTCCACTGCTCCTTCACTGACAAAACCTTCGCTGATGTCACCACCGGACTTACGGTCCCTGCTCTCGACAGCAGGGTTTTCTACAAACGTAAATGTAGTTCCATAAAAATATATTCAAAAATTATAACCTCGAACATGTAAATTGTAACTTAAAAAAATTTATTTTAGCTTCATTTTTCATTTTGCACAAGAACATAAACTTAGGTTAAAATTGTCAATCTCACTATTTACTCAATCCCTGTTTTTCTGAATTTTTTCGTGATGTGTGTTAAGCACTTGAAAGCGCACTGCCTCGATTTCTAAAATTAAATCTATCTTTACATAGACAGTGATAGACTTAACTATCAAATAACAAATCATATATCTGTAGAATTGTTTTATCAATAATGTATTTATTTTCTTTGAGTTCAAATCGTCAATTTTTTTAGTTCTAACAATACAAGATTCCGCATGTATTTATTGTAGACTCATCATTACTTGCAGATACTTACACATGTATATTTTCAGATTTAAATTGGCCAAAAAACGATTTTCAATTCAATCCATACACTGGTTTATAGCACATACGTATTAAACTTGAAATTATGTAGTAATTTTCAACATAATTTATATTTGGGAACGAGGCCTGGGATGCCTGCCTGGCTTCACGCTCGTGGACAACGTGGGCTGCATTTACGTCTCCACCGTCGCACTGAACTTCACCGCCGCCGCCGCGTCCTGTCCCTTCGACTCCCAACTCTTCACCGCCAACTTCCTCATCGACTTCAACGCCATGCGGGAATACCTCCTGAGGAATTTCTCTAGTAAGTTGTAGAGTAAAATTCTGGAATCATTCAGCTCCACGCCATAAAAAATGGCAAGTCTCGGACTTGATAAAACAGATCTGTACTCATGATCAGGCTTATTTATTAGAACTACTTGTCTCACGATGAGGATTGTTCCTATAGAGTCGTAAAATATGAGTGAACGGGTGCCGTCGACTTTTACCTCTCCACTGCTTATTTTCGATCTAATTCTACTTCATGCGCGATTACCTCTTGAATAACGATCGTAAGCCCGGAATGGACAGTGGGAATGTTAGTAAATTGCTCTATTTTTCGTTTATAGCCTGATTGTCGAAAATAATTGTGGAGTCGCAAAATCATGGGCAGCTGACAGCACGTTATAAAATCATTCCAGCTAACATTATGATATTTAACCTCTCAACTGACTCAAGCATATATGACTTATCAGGCAAATAAGTCCAACAGCTATCTCAATCAATCGTCAGCTATGGAAAGATGGGGTTCCAAAGGCCGGATCCCTTGTGAATCAAGTCACGAAAAGTTCAAGAATCGGCAACAGGCCATGGGCCTATTTCTTCAGTGCCGACACTTCTATTATATTCTATGAACAAGAATCGGCAACAGGCCATGGGCCTATTTCTTCAGTGCCGACACTTCTATTCTATTCCATATGCTCGCAACATTTGTGAGAATCCTCGCGTCCTAAAACTAAATTACAAAACCTATTACAAAACATATTATTACTTTTAAATATTCCATTTAGAAGGCTTGAGCATAATTGCTATCAGTGCGCTTATATTTTTCAAAAACTGTTAAAAGCAACTTTGAATGTTATCAAATTGTGAATGCCTCTAGTTTATCTGGCAAATCCTCAATATTATCATTTACTGAACGCAGATGGTTTCAAATGGTGTATGTGCGCATATCATTATATACATGACTTAGGGAGAGTATTGGGTCAGATCAGTTAGTTTTAAATATTCTATAATTAAAGCTACATAATTTGTCATAAGTTTGAGCTTACAAGTCTCCATTGTGTGTAGTATAGCTGGACATCATTGAAACCCATTATCCGACTGAGCCAGTCGAACAAAAAAACCGTCGGTGAATTAAATGTGTATGAAAGACGTGTTAATTGTACGACTCGAATGGAAGTATGTATCACTACGGTTCTTGATTAAAAAGTATAATCTGAGTAATCAAGTGTTATTTTCTCAGCCTCGCGCTTGCGGTTCTGGATTGGCCTGATCCGTGCTACGGACTCCACTTGGCAATGGCTCGGAGGCGGGACCATCCCAACCACTCACCCATCACCATACTGGGGGCAAAATGACCCGAATAACCCAGCGCCCAGTTGTGGGGGAATACATTTTGAGCCTGGAGTGAGTTACTTGTATCATCTGGCCGATGCACCTTGTGCCACAGCCTACAAGTTCCTGTGTAAGCAAATTTGAAGCCAATGACTTGAAATGACACAATGCGCCCCTTTTGCCAGCAGCTGACCAATAACTATATTTATTCTGGCGCAATTACTTGAAATTATCCGAGTTGCTTGCATACCAGCTATTCTTAGCAAACAGTAAGAAGCAAAAATTAGACCGCTGATATACGATACCCCAAACTCTAGCATTAAAAATTGAATGAAGTTATGTATAATTAACGCTTGCAGAAGGCTGATCGCTGGTTTCCCCTGTATCAGTGAATAAATAGGGTTTATTTACGTTAAGTCATCGTTGCAATGGAATCGAGATTCCTGACAAGCATTAACAATCATCGTTTCATAACCAGAATTTCCAGTCATGGCGACATTTCCCTGATCCCGTTAATTTCTCCGCATCACCACAGAATGTGCGGCATGACTTGCATTATTTACGAGGTGATGCATTGGCGGCTTAAGTGCGAGACTCAAGCTGCTAAATTTCGTTTACTTATTAATCATCAGTCAGTAAGACGCATGCATATTAATCATACTGTAAGTCAGTAGGACACACGCAACAGCCTGCTATACGATACAATACTACCATCTTCAAGATAATCCCTACAAATATCTCCACAGTTCAGTTGACATTAGAATGAACTTCGACCTTGTAGAAGTTTGACTCGCAATTATCATGTGGCACGGAGTATCAAATTCTCAGTTCTACGCATAACTTCACTTATGTCTTTATACTCGTGTTATTTTCAGCTTGAATATATGTCNGGGTAGTGGGAGTGAGGGTAGTGGGAGTGAGGGTAGTGGGAGTGAGGGTAGTGGGAGTGAGGGTAGTGGTGATGAGGGTAGTCAATTTTCCACGCGTGCCAAGTCTCGATCGTGACGCTCGGCTCAGGCGCTGCAGCGGCTGGTCGCCAAGACGACGCCTTCGACCCCGTCCATGAAACACATTCTTGTGTGGTGCGTGACAGTATTGTTTTATATTCCCTTAAAAAGCAAACTAATTTTTCTGCCTCTATTAAAAATAATTGGAATGGTCTCAATCATGCTTCGTACATCACGACATGGAAATGGTTTGGGGGCTAAACCATTGGAAAAGCTAAACCTTCGCTGTGCTGGGGCTATTTGGAACCGAATGTAATGTACTATGAAGAAGGCATTGACTATGCGGCACTGTCATATGTGCAGTCCAATAATTACTTCTACCACGTTGCCGATCAGTTCTGTGTAAACCATACGAGTTTTTGTGTAAGCAAAATAATTTGTAGTATGCCGCATTGTTATGCATGCATCTCGTTTGCTACCAGTAAATTTGTAACTGATAATTGATCTTTTGGTGTAAACTAAATTTATTAAATCAACAGAATCAGAAGCTTTACGTTGCCTTAAATGACGAAATCTGTTGATCAGAATCTATGAACCAGATTTATTGGACTTAACAATCCCGTATAAACATGTTAAAGGTTTACAAAGTGATATACACGTCATCAGTACAAAAATCAAATAAGCAGCTTATGAAATACTTTCAGTATTTTTTATCTCTCTTCTCCGACTGAGGGAACACATTCAATAATGTGACGTAGACACGCACACAAAAAAAACTAAGGTTCAAAGTATTTCGAGGCAATGATTATTTAGTAGTAGCATTAATTTCTGAGCATCAATTACAATTAGCAAGACTGATAAATAATTCCTCATTAGCAACGCACGTCCGGCACAACTAGGTACATGAGTGGTCAGGTCTTGGCTGCTAATAGCAAAGCTAATATCGATCTGCCAGGCTCGTCTGGGAGCGATTGTCGCTTTCTTCACGACTTCGGTCTGAAATATTTTACACGCTGAAAACAACTAAGAATGTAAAGATGAAAAATGGGATCAAAATTTTATTTATTTTGAATTGGTTTCTGATGCAATTTGAATCAGTTATATCTCTTTTGAATTTATTCGAGACTACAATTTTTGAAGCTTTGAATTGATTGAATGTGATTAAGCATTCTGCATGGGTCATGGAAATTAGTTCGCAGTCTAAATTTCACATGTATCATGAATCACATGCACAAGTTCTCGAAAATATTCCATTAAAATTGGCGCATATCAAGCTCATCAATGTCTTTAACACCTGATTTGCAAAATGCAGCGAGGTCGGCTTGCTGCACTGCGCTAGTGATCTGCGCTGTCCCTTCAGAGGAGGGATGAAAAATAAGGTCAGAAAAAGTTCAATAATTTTATGAAAAAATTTGAAAAATATCATATATGTATATCCCGAAATATAAACACTTTTAAAACAATCCTTATTATAGTAAAGCGTGATATACCACGATATATTTTTTCAGTGTCTGACAAAGTTATCAATTAAGATAAGTTCTTGTTCCGAGATAAAATTTTCTTTACAGATTTTAAAACAGATTAAAATTATATCAATTCATGAAAACTTAAATACTTTCTTATGCAGAGTTGAAGCGGGATGAATCTTTATTCAGATGAACACTGACAATAAAATATTTATTTAGAGCGACAAAACGTAACTGACATTATCGTAACATTTCGTAATTTTTACTGCTACTCGTACTTTTTCTCATATAAAACATATCTTCAGTATTTTTTAATTATGGTTAATTACCTATTTGATTTAATTTCATTATACAAGGACAACTTTCGAAAAATTCGCATTCAATTACAGCAAGGATTTTATATTTTCTAAATCAGTTAAAATTATTTTTTTTTTTCATTTAGCAGGCTGATTATAACGCAGTGATGGGCGGGGCCCTCGTCCCGCGCTCTGGTAACGCACGTCGCTTGACGTTCGTTTGAACGTCCATCATTTGTTCTACGTCTACAATTTGTTCATATCAAGTTACGCATTTCTAACGTGTGCTTATGAAATTCTGCATTTCCATCATGGGCACCTTAATATATAAGTTGTTGTAGTATGGAGTTGTGAGGAGAAAGTCTGGCCAGCATCGATTCGCATCACATCACTCCTCATAAATAAATAGAATAATAAACAAGAAATAATATATTGTAAATATATCATTATATATATAATGTAATATATTTATGTAATTTAAAAAAATAATTAATAAAAAGGGTAATATAAACATATAAATAAAATCTATTCATACTATATATAAAAATAATTAAATAATAAAATAATGAAGTCCACAAATCGGCCAACGCTGCGGCCACTAAGCTGGCCATCAGTGAAGAGTTCGTCTCACCGTCCGGTCGATGTGCTGACGTCATATCGAAAGCCTATGAGGTTAAGGACTAAAACAAACGGAGTGGAAAAACATAACTGCAATATACTATTTATAACTGCGTGAGATGTTAAACACTGGAGGAAGCTCGCAAACATAACTAAACTGTTATAAGCAACGCTGAGGTTCAAACGAGTGTCATTGCGCGTTGGCGACAAAAAAATTGTCGCCAGCGCGCAATGAGCATGTGAAACCATGTGTTTAATTACATGGTTATTGGTAACGAATTTAGAGTTTAAAGCGATCACGAGTGCTTGGAATTAACGGTTGCATTCAATGCAGGTTTAAAGCAGGTGTAGCTCAGTTGTTAGAAATTTCCGTATTTCTTGAATCGTCCAAGTTGACGATTCTTTTTCTTAGTCTTAGATAGGAAGGGATCTGTAAATAGTTAAGATGAGAACTTGAGGCGGTGACGACCACGGCATTGTTGCTCCGTCAGGAGTTCATGATTTATTAAGCCATGCCTTGCTAAAATCTTATTTTTCGTTTGAGTGATCACTCTTAGTTTTCGTTATGTTTATTTTTTGCCTTTAACTGCATGTTCGAACTTCTTTGTTTAGAAGGTTAGACTCCGAACGCGCTTGGGCTTTGCCTTCAACTTAAATTAGTCTATTGGCCTGTGGCTTTTGAATTTCTTATCACGATTAAACTATTAAATAAATATTCCTTAACTGAGAGGAAGGGCGAAGTTCTTCCTTAATCTTTACTGTTACTGTACTTGCGTTTGCGTCGGAGTCTGCCTTTCTCCTACTACTAATGAATTTCCCTTTACATGGCCACTTAAAATGCCTCTTAAAATTTCAGCTTGACGCCAAAGATTTTAAGGTGGGTTTAGGGATTGATATAAATGTAATATTGAGAAATGATTGAGGTCTAATTATAAAATTTCATATTTACTGGATTTAAAGCTGTAGCATTCTATTTTTTAGAATAACTGCAACTCCCGAGGGGCCGGTACGACTTCTGCTACACTGGGGAATCTCATCTATATTTATTCATTTACCTGTTTATTAAGGTGTGTTTGATTCTATTTGAAGAATTCTTTTTACCATTGCGCCATTGATGAAACCTTTATTCGAATATTAATCACCGTTACATAACTTGCGTTCTACTGTTTCGTTCATTTCTTTCACAGTTATGTTGGGCTTCGTTTTCGTCCGTTGGGACAGAAGTTTCTAAAGCTCAAGCTGTTGTTTCCTATGAGAATGTCGTCTGTGACCGGCGCCAAACTGCTTCGAGCGGCGACGTTTTCGAAATAAAATCGTTCGTGTGAATTGTCTTTTGTATTAAGCCTAACATAATTTATTCTTAAAATCTTTAACTTATAATATCTTCTCCCGTTATTCAATTTGTTCAGTTTGTGTCGAGTTTCCCTGAGAATGTCGCAGGTTGGAATGTCCGACAGCGGCCCCGCTCCTGAGCAGGAGACCAGCGCCTCGTACGTGAGGAAGCGCGCTGCTTACAAGGGTAAGATTACTCTGGCTCTTAAGAAGTTGGTGGTTGCCTCTGTTGACTATGAAACTAAAACCATTCTTGTTGCGCAAATCAAGGATTATCTTCGTGAAATTGACACTTTAGATGGCAAAATTAATGATATTTCTGAACCTTCTGTTGATACTCTTCAAGAACAGTTGAATTACCTGATTGATGTAAGTAAGAACCTTTCTAAGCATGAAGAGACTGCACCTCACGATGGTCATCGTGTAGTTACTAAAGTTGAACAGGTTAGATTGCCAGCTCTTCAATGTGCCACTTTTTCAGGAGAGGGCTCTTCAAGCCTTGACTATTCAAGCTTTATCCAACAGTTCAATAACGTAATTGATTGCCGCCACTCTCTTTCTGATGCATCTAAGTTAACTTACCTCAAGACTTATTTGAAAGGGTACGCCCTCAAAATTATTGATCACCTCTCTATTAACAATGAAAATTACGCTGTGGCGCTGCAGATGCTTGAACGCGAGTTTATTGATCGCAAAGCCCTCGTTAATGACTTGATTCAGAAACTTTTTGACCTTTCACCTAAATATCATCCAGATTATTTGGGGACTAAGATTTATATTAATGAAATTAGAAGCACTGTTAGTGATCTTAAGAAGTGGGACTGTGACTTGTTGCAGGGAAGCGGTAACGTTATGCTTTCTGTCCTATTGTTCGGCAAACTGCCAAATCCTGTCAAGCAGGAATTCGCTCGGAAGTTCGACAACTTTCCGTCTTGTGAGGTAATTTTTGATAATTACCCTGAACCCCTAACAGTTGTTACCCCTAACAGTTGTTGAGTTCGAAGTATACAATTTTTGGTCATGGAACCAAGTTTCGAGAAATTATGCAGTGCAAAACAGGCTCATTGCGGCCACAAATGCAATGGAATTTCAATCTTTATTCTTACTCGTGCAGAAAATTCGGAGGAAACGCTCTTTAATTATTTATATAGTGTAATTTACTTATTGGTTTTCATTTAGTGTAATAACAGCTAGTAAAAGGCCCATTGTAACCCGGACTTAGTAGGGAATTCCCACTTTAACTTTACTTTGCATTTTTTAAGAACATTTGCAGAGACCAAATTAGAAGTAACACTTAAATTTTCAGTTCGAATAACTCTTCCCCCCTTTTTAAAGTTTCCTCTGTCCGCCATATATATTAAAATGTGGGGCCGCCTCAATATTAAAATGTGGGGCTTCTGTAATTTTCGTCACGACAGGTGGCTAATTAAGCATCCGAATATCTCCTTAACATACACGGCGCCAGGTCTCCGATAACTGCACGCACACAAACTCACAAGAAAGTAACACATATATCTATCATTGATCGCTAGATAAATAAACAAATTATAAATTTAAGAGGTATATGAAATTTAATTAACTTTATTCAGTTAAGTCTAGAAGTTGGGCATCTATTTTGTGCTCCTCGACTCGTTTTCAACTTGGATCTTTCACTGCTGCTATAATCGTGGTATTGTAAACGTATTAATATATTAATAATATAGATGAAACTTACTTGTAAAATTTACGTCTCGCTGCAGTCTGATGAGCGCGATGTCGTGATCTAGGACAGAGTTATTCCCAAACCTCGGATGCACGACGATTTCTTCAGCCAAAAGAGTAAGGCGTTCATCAACGCATATGTTATCGATGCAGTCAGGGTCTGTACTCAGCCTCCAGTCCCCCAAAACTACGTGCGTCCTTAGTGGGTGAAACACGGAGAAAATTCGTTAGTTAACGTTAACAAATTCTTGTGACAGTCTTGCGTACTTTTTGTGCACAGTTGTGGTGGAGTGATAGCTGACTGTGCCTAGTGTGTGCATGTTAGCTCGTGTAGTGCGAGAAAATCAGGCATGAAGTACCGCGTAGCACACAAGGAGTACACTGTCCATCACAGTGCCTAGATCACAGTACTCACATTTCCCAGTCGCGTAGATGACTTTGCACGACGCAGTGTGCAGCAGTCAAAATGTAGCGCCGGCTGATGAGGGACCCACCGCATAGAAACTTCCTGACTCCCTTGATTTGATCTGCAAGCAAGAACAATTAATTACTTAGACATGTCTATTTTTTGCCCATTTGTTATATTTTAGTCGATTTTCTTCCAATATCTGTAAGGAAGCATCTAGGTTTGGGTGGCATCATTCACGAGATTCTTTGATCTAGAACTTTTGACTGAATCCCCTTCAAGTGTTAGATTACTGTTTCGCTCTCAAGTTAGATTACCGCCGGTGATTCGTAGCCGTTGGTAATCATATGTCGCGATTAGTAGCCACAATAGCTCAAGACTTCACCAAAAAGCACAGGATTCGATTGCAGAAATCCCAATCTTCTGTGTTCTGAAGTTATAATAAAATTCCGTCTAGTATGCCTACTACCTCTGTCAGTCGTCTAGTCTGGTATACCCAAGTCGCTCTGTCAGGCGCACACTGTCTATCACTTACACCGTTAATTATTATGTTCTGTACTCACGAATAATAAGTGACCAACATCAAGAGTTATCTACAAGGACAACTCGTATATTAACGTATATACTGACTCTAATTATTATTAGTTGACTCATTTCCCCTTATTAGTGCTTCGCTACATATCAGCGACTCACGCTTATAATGTATAGCCACCATCCAGGGGTATTGCCCCAACCCCGCGCTCGTGCCGCGCACAATACGTTCGTTTGACGAAGGTTGTCCACACGAATCAGGTAGAAGGGATGACTGAGAACTACTACGTTGCTCGCACATCTCACGCCGGAGTCTCGTCCTTTCCTTCGTCGTGTTCAGACGAGATGACACTTCTGCGTCTGGGTTTGCCGGGCAGCAAACCTGGCGTTGGGTGAAGGAATTTAATAGTAGCGGCCGATAGCTCACCAACTTTAACGAGAACATTAAAAAGTTGTATGCATGCACAATCCAGAGCCCGTGATTGAGATAACAGAGACTATAGATTTACCTATGTGCTTGCATATCACTTCGAGTTAAAAAACTAGTTGAAGTATGAACATAAGATGGTAAGAACGTACATACCTTAGCTCGGGGGCCGGAGAAACCGCAGATCGCGCGTGTGACGTTGGCTCGCCTGTGGGGGGCGTTGGAGCGCAGCAAGCACCACAGCGGCAGACACTCGGTCAGCGGCACGCATGACTCGACGGAACAAACTGCCAATGTCCGCACGCCTGTGTTGTGATGTTTTGTAAAGAGTCATTTGGTTAATTTTTGTGCATTTAATGTTATACAGCATCACTGGTTGGTGCTCAGTTGGAAAAAATGCATCGCAGGCGACAAAAAATTGTTCCGGTCAACGCCGAGCGGCCGATTAGGAATGTTCATAAGTCACTACTGAGAAATTGAAAAAATCCTTAAGATCGAGTCCGGAGATGAACAACATCCCATCTTTCGTCAACATTTTTCCAAATATATAATTTCCGATCATATTGCTTACCGGAAAATTGTAAATTATTATCATAATTAATGAGATTGCGCATAAAAAGCCTTATTTTACCAGTTACAGTTAAGCATGAATTAGTGCCCAATGTCTTGGAGGGAAAGAACATGCATTGTTCTATGTATACTTACCCAATGCTCCTGACGTGAACATGAGCAGGAAGCCTAGAGCTGCCAGGTTTTCAGTTGTATGTTTCATGTTTAAGAACAGTTTGTCGGAACGTTCCCTTAAAGACTTTCATGAACTGCAGTGGAGAATCGTCAATAGGTTAGCATGATAAATATAATTATCTGTAATCGCATATTCATGTCGAACTTTGTGGGTGGGTTTGTATACGTGTTTGAAGACCGCACCACAAATGTATGGGGGCTGTTCGGGTGCATGTCCACGATACTTATAATGCCGGTAGATGACCAGAAAATGGAACTTCATTCTTAAATGAAAGAACAGGAAATGAATGGAGGTAAGGGAAGAAAGAATCGCATCAAAGAAGTAAAATTTGAGTTTGCAGTGGGTAAATTTTAATTTAATTTAAAAGACGCAAAATGGCTTTTTCGATAGGCTTGAAAAGAGAGTTAAAAGGAGTTCTAATTAACTATTCAAACTGTGGGATTGGAGTGGTTTCTAGGAATATTACTTTAATGACGGGATTTGACATTAGAGGATTCTAAAATTGCAGGAATATTCAAGCCCGGGCATCGTCAGACTATACTTCTGGTCTATTATAATTTTTTTTTTTTGAAATTTGTGTTTTTGAATCCTAGTACTGAAAATACATAGAGGCCATACGAACGCGAATCCACGGTACTCATCGTGTTATAGTTATACTATTACCACATTCTGGAAATTAATTTTTAGCGAGAGATTAGTAATTTATTGCGAAACTGGGAGGAATGGGTTATAAAATTGAAATTTAAATTTTTAAAGTTGGATCGCAGCTTTTTTAAACGCATTTTTTATGCAATTTCTAAACGAGAGTAAAATGGGAATTCGATGTAAGATGTTGTTTTGAACGAGTCTATCTTTCATAGTATACATTAAATTGATTATTATTAACAGGAATCAAGATGCCGGAATTTTAAATGAAGGTATTCTAAAATTGCTGGGATTAGCGGACCCAAGCCACATCGGACAAACTTGCTATCCTGTTACAAATTTGTCATAGTTTATTCGTGTTTTTATTCGAAATCTGATACTGGAAATGTACACGGGCTATTCCAGCTGATATTGCTTACAACAACGAATGGGCATTAAGTATAAGTATTGTTGAAGTAACTCCGTGAAAATAGCTGTTTCATTCTAAAATAAATTGATGATCGTAAAAAAATCATACGAACAATTTCGTACGAAACCATTCGCCAAATGTTGGCCAATTTCAGTGCTGTATTATTTATTTTTATTTACTTCAAACCAAAGCTACGATATCGTAAATGCGAGCGTCATCTCACGGACAATAAGCTGCGCCTGTAGCTTACAATATTATAAGCTTACAACAATATTATTATTATTATTATTATTATTATTATTATTATTATTATTATTATCATTATTATTATTATTATTATATTAATTATACGACAATACGCGCATGACGATACGTTGTTTGTTCTATACGTGATGTGTTAATTAGAGATTACGTGCCATCATTAAACAACTGTTTTATCAGGAGATCTATTAATTAGTCTGTTTCATCAGCAAACCGCGCGGCACAGAACGACTGGCCTTAACAGACTCATTTATTTTGTTGCATTTTAAACCATTATTTTTTAAAGGGCATCAATTGCACCACTTTTTAAATGAGATATCATGTTCTATTTTGAAATCCATTAGGAAATATATTAAAGTGGTTCTAAATCCCTACGTATACTGTATGTACAAAGGACGAACGGAACACCTCGCACAAAACTCATCAGTTCCCAAGAGCAGTGAACAAATGAACGCACGCGTAGCAATTAAAATTAATTGTGAAAATCACATTCCTGAGTTACCAGGATAATTATATTACTGATTTGAAGGTCTCACGATAATAACGATGCAATAAAAGGCATTAATCTTTACAATTTAGTTCTTTATATTTTACTGTATATCTCTTTTACTCGGTAAACCTGTTTGCTTTTGATACACAATACACTCATCACTTGCTGCGCCATACAAATTCAGTTTGAAGTACTGAGCTGGTAAATCACCAATCCCTCGACTGCATAAAATAAAGTCTATGTATTAGCTCAAATTTCCATTATACAGTTAAATCCCCCTAGACCTTCAGCTATGGGTGCGCGTGAAGCACTGAATATTACGACTTACAGAAGTTCTTTCATAACGCTTGCATATTTTTAGCCATGCCATGTATGCATCATGTCTACACGACGACAGAGCCTCGCCTGTGCATGACTGCCCTCCTGCATAACATGACTGCTGGCCTGCATAACATGACTGCTGGCCTGCATAACATGACTGCTGGCCTGCATAACATGACTGCTGGCCTGCATAACATGACTGCTCTCATGTAGGAGTACAAGCGTCTCCTTCATATGATCGCCCTCTTGCATTACAAGGCTTCGTTTGTTTATTAACTAAAGACCTCAGTTTATCACGTATTCAAAGATTCTGCTGAAGAAATAAAAGCTCTATATTGTTAGCGTTTTTGCCCTATCTTTCCATACTAATTCGGTTTTATTTAAATGCATCAATCTCCTACCCGACCTCCTTTAATCCCGACATACTATTAACGTACTATACAGATTTCATATATAGAAGGATTTTGTCTTGTCTCACAAGTGCGTTAGCACACTCGAAGCCAACCTTGCTAAGCTTATGTGTGTTAATTAATTTAGATATAATATTCACCTTTTCTATTACTGATTTTCTGTGATGCTTTCACCGCTTCATCATTCATTTAATAAGTGATGAAGTGATGCTTCATTCGCAGTATAAATCGCAAGGCCGACTCGTATATGACAGCGACGCAAAGCAAGGCTTAAATTCTTACCCGCTCTCAGCCCACTTTTTTTATTTTAAATTCTTTATGAACTAGCGATTTAAGCAGAATAATTATGAAAGTATTTGCACCAATAATACAAACTTTCCATTTATTCCAGTTATATGTATCCATAAGTCATTGATGCTAAAGGAAATAATACATATTCTCCAGCATGCCGCTAAAGGCTTAACACGTCTATATATGAACGTCTGCGGCTTGAAGGGAAGACCTACAACTGCTGCTGCGGCCGACGAGAGGAAGGGGTTGTAGTTTAGCGTTGCCAACGCACTAGTGTTAGGGTCAATAGTGACTAGTAGGGTGGGGTTAGTGGCTTCTTATTGATGCAATTATCTGTGCAAGGCCATTCGAAAACATTCTGAAGCGATATTAAGCATAAATACAACCTGAATAATACGAAAGTTGCAAGTGACGGAAAATGACCGCTTATTATAAATAAACCCAACCACTGAATGCATAGACTATTAGGACTTCTTTAGAACACAGTTGTCGACTCATCGACATCATGGTAGATTCAATGGTAATAGTTAAATAATAGACTAGTAATAGTTAATAGTAATGGACTTGAAGGTAATTGAACTTATTTCCACGTTATAGCTTTTAAACTGATAGCCGGTACGTAACAATTTTATGTCCTTTCTCCGAAAAAGATCTGGTAATTAGAAAACCTGAATTTCAATAAATGAATGACCAAGTCTCGATTAATTAATATAGAAAAAATAAAACAATACAACGAGCTGTCTTTCGATCAGTCATAATCAACTTCAGAGGCATTTTTCTTAACATTTTTCTTAACATTTTTCTTGATTTTTCATCTTTTTTGTTTTTCATTCTATATCAGTTAAATTATTAGACCTTCCACCATTGTTTCCTTAATAAACAACTCACTCCATTTAATTGATCTTCCTGAAGTAACATTTTTTGCTCATAATTCATTCAAACAATTTTCAGAACTTTCACTTTTTTCAGTAGTTTATTTTCCTCCTAAATTATCGCCCAATAATTTTTAGGGAATCATTGTCGAATGTCAATATTACATGTCAGTATTGCCTGCTGATCGTTTACCATAGTCCATCACCCCGCTTTTTCTTTCAGAAGAACTGTTATATTCTATGGATAAAATACAAAACCGATGAAGGCAAGTAGAGAAACTCAGGACGAATAGCTAGCATATTTACTCACGTCAGTTACCAAGGTGGAAGTAGAGCGCCAACATGGCCGCCGAGGAATCCATCGGTGAAGATGCAGCAGAAGTGTCGCGCATCAAGAAAGACTTGGACGAGCTCAACGACGCGGAGCTGGAGACCATCCTCACCCCCGAGGAGAAGCGTTACATGCTTTATGTTGAGCGTGGTGACGTGGCTTCTGTTAAACAGTGAGTTAAATAACAGGAGAAAAGCCCAGCGGAGAAGCGTTATATGCTTTATGTTGAGCGTGGTGACGTGGCTTCTGTTAAACAGTGAGTTAAATAACAGGAGAAAAGCCCAGAGGAGAAGCGTTACATGCTTTATGTTGAGCGTGGCGACGTGGCTTCTGTTAAACTCTTCTGTTCTGTTAAACAGTGTTAAATAACAGGAGAAGAGATTTGTGAAGAACGGGATGTAATTGCAGTCCAGCGATGAGCCCAGTGATGGGTCAACTTGTGTTATAAGATTTTTCAACTAGATGTTGCTACATAATGTAGGATTCCTAACCCGAGATAAAGAATCAACTATTAAACATCGATTTTATGAAAAGACCGAATGAACTAGACAAGATCTCTGAGCCCTTCCGAGGGTAAATTTGTCCGCTGTCATTGAGCCTTTCCAACTCAATAAGTCAATATGTCTATAATAAAAGGTACATAATTATCCTAGTAACGCGGCGGGCTAAAGCAATAGTTATCTCACAACTTCAATAACCGCAATCGCATCTTGCCCGAATACTGATAAATACAATACTAGATAATTTTATTTTTAAGGACTTGTCTAGCCGGTAGCATAATGTAATTTTAAACGTGCATTCAATATATATGAAAGTTTGAATAATCTACAATTTTGTGCTCAGAAACCACTATATGCCTTAGTTTTCGGTCACTTGGATTAACAATTTCTCAACATTCGTTGCATCCTTAGGGAGGCGTTTGCTGTTTGAAGTAACATTGAGACCTCCATACGTTAATTCATAGCATGAAGAACCGAGGGATAATTATTTTATGAAGGAAATACTGTATACGCGCAGCATCCTGAAGAAGGGCCACAAGGAGAACCAACGCAAAGAGAAGAGCTTCAACATGAACTGCGTTGACCCTCTCGGCCGCACGGCTCTCGTCATCGCCGTGGAGAACGAGAACCTCGACATGATCAACACTCTCCTGGCAGAGAAAATCGAGCCCACGGTACGTATGAACTGTTCGAAATAACCGTGAAAAACGGTCTCAACGGCATTCTATTGGCCAGCCGCTTGGTAAAAATAAACACTTTCGCCGTTTTCTTATAATTTGGTAAGCGTTTCTAGTGTTGAATTGAAAAAATTGCAACATAATATTTTTTCAGTTGCCGGGCGGCCATTGAAATGCCATTAAAACTGTTTTACGGCGATTTTTCGAACCGTCTGCAGGGTTTGCGATTGGCATGCCGAGTGCAAAATTATCTTAGCCACAAACATACCCACCGAATCAAAGTTTACGACTTACTCAGAGCATTTAATGCGATCGTAAGCCAAGAGAACAGACATGACTGCATGGGCGTCTGACTCGAGGGTTCGCATTTCATGACTCCATCAACTCTTCTGAACAGAAAAGATTCACTTTTTCTCGACAATAAACATCCTTGTAAGAAAGTGATCGCAATACACTTTGTTACTTGCTAATCACTCCACTTCTAAACACGATATAACATTTATCTCACGACATGTTGGATTGAATGTCTCTTGAAATGATCGATCGCCTTCTAATTAACTTAACGTTAAATTCATGCACTGCCTAAACATATGGCAGTGATTGCATTAACATCAACGCTTAAAAAATTACGAAGACAGCTTACTTTATGTGCAGCTTTATTTCCAATTTTTGTGTCGTTTCTATGGTCACATTCCACCTCATACTGCTTGCACTCAGTAACCTTTACCTATCAACTATTCTGCTTACCTTTATTCTCTTTTCTAATATAACTATTGAAATGTTATTACATTAATCGTTTTCTACTTGCAAATTTTTTGGTAATTTTTTAAGCATCAATGTCACTTAATTGCTGGAACCGCTAATTCGCCAAAAACTTAAAAGAGAGTAAACTTCCTCGATAATTTATTATATCGCTATAATACACGTTTCGGAGTCTTTTTACCGTTACCTTTACCACGTTTCACCGAATTTTCGAACTGATGATTGAACTAGACACCAAAAAGTTTAAAAAAATATATGATGAATTTTCGTAATTTTTTTCTGTGGAATCCCGTACACAGGACTCTCTGCTGCACGCCATCGCAGAGGAGTACGTGGAGGGCGTGGAGGTGTTGTTGCAGCACGAGGAGTCCATCCACAAGCCTGATGAACTTTACGTGAGTGCATTACCTTACCATGGGAGACTCCAACTCGTCGGAAACTGCGATCACTTTCTTTGGCTAACTTATGTAACTATAATAACTCTGTAATAAACAAGGTTTAAAAGATTTACGTGAAATGAAACTGCGGTTTGCATTTATGTTTACTATTCGTCAGTACTTCATTCGGAATAATAGGATGTGTTACTAGGTTTAGTTGAAAAAAACAAAAATTTGCTATCAAAATTAGCTTGAGTATTATTTAATTTATCATTTATTGATGCCGGGTTTCTTCAATAGGCAATTGATCACTGATTTAATGGATATAATTATTGTTTGTGCTTTCCAATTCCCAAAGTCATGGCAGAAGACGGCTGGCGTGAAGGCGGCCTTCACGTCCGACATCACGCCTCTAATCCTGGCCGCGCACAAGGATAATTACGAGATCCTGCGCCTGCTCCTAGATCGCGGGGCCGCCTTACCCACGCCCCACGATGTCAAGTGTGCCTGTGACGAATGTCTTGTGTCTACGACTCGCTCATGTGATGTGTGTTGCGAGAGCCTAATGTCCAGCGCCGACGACTCGCTCAGGTGAAGTGTGTTGCGGGAGCCTAATGTCCAGCGCCGACGACTCGCTCAGGTGATGTGTGTGTTGCGGGAGCCCAATGTCCAGCGTCGACGACTCGCTTAGGTGATGTGTGTGTTGCGGGAGCCTAATGTCCAGCGCAGACGACTCGCTCAGGTGATGAGTGTGATGCGGGAGCCTTATGTCCACCGCAGACGACTCGCTCAGGTGATGTGTGTTGCGGGAGCCTAATGTCCAGCGCAGACGACTTGCTCAGGTGATGTGTTGCGGGAGCATAATGTCCAGCGCAGATGACTCGCTCTGGTGATGAGTGTGTTGCGGGAGCCTTATGTCCAGCGCAGACGACTCGCTCAGGTGATGTGTGTTGCGGGAGCCTAATGTCCAGCGCCGACGACTCGCTCAGGTGATGTGTGTTGCGGGAGCCTAATGTCCAGCGCCGACGACTCGCTCAGGTGATGTGTGTGTTGCGGGAGCCCAATGTCCAGCGCCGACGACTCGCTCAGGTGATGTGTGTCGCGGGAGCCTAATGTCCATCGCCGACGACTCACTCAGGTGATAGGTGTCGAGTGCTCCTGTCAGCACCTAATACGAATTTGCTTTTTCTGCCTCGCTTCCAATGTTATGAAAATTGTTATGATATCAATGGTCGGTTTCTAATAGAATAATAATTTTCACCCAATAATAACTCTGCAGAACAATCTGCTGTGTTTATCGCATCATTAATTTTATCTGCAACTGCAGATTAATTAAATTAATTAATTAAAGATTGACTTTGCTTACAGTAGAACAGTCTGCTGTGTTTATTGCATTTATACTTGCAAAAAGCCATTTGTAAGAAAATAAGAGATATGATGACAATAAGTAAAAGCAGGAAAAATAAATCCTGAATTATTTGTACAGGCATTCTCTGTCCCGCATCAACGCCTACCGCGCCCTCAGCTCGCCATCGCTCATTTGCCTGTCGAGTAAAGATCCTCTGGCGACTTCCTTTGCGCTGTCCGAGGAACTCAACAAACTCGCCTACATGGAGAATGAATTCTCCCAGGAGTACCTGGTCAGTTTTTATCTTTTATTTTACAAATAAATTAGTGACTATAAAGTATTGTACAGCCATGACAACTCTACTATTCTGAAAATTCAAGTTTTGTCTGGTACGTTTAACGCTCACTTCTGTTCATTCCTTTTCAAAATTGAATGAAGAGTCTCAAATATATTTATTCCATTTTTGTCGCCCCGACAGAGTCTCGACGAACAGGTGCAGACATTCGCCACGGCGCTGGTGGACAACACACCCTAGTTTTGTTGCAAACCTGAACAATATTAAGTAATATTTCCTTTGTTCCTAAGAAGTGTTCCCCCGACAGAGTCTGGACGAACAGGTGCAGACATTCGCGACGGCGCTGGTGGACAACACGCGCACGTCGCTCGAGCTGGAGCTCGTGCTTAACTACGACCCTGAGGGCGACGCCTACGAGCAGGGCCAGCACATGCACCTCACGTGCCTCAGGGAGGCAGTGGCTAGGAACCAGAAGATGGTTAGGCCATGTGTAATATAGTTTGTGTGATACATTAAGATGGTATGTTACCACGTTTTTCTTGACTTCGTTTCGTGTCCGTCTGTCATCAAAAATGCAAACTTTAATTTAAAGCACTGCTAAACATCCTAGTAGGTTGAAATTTGGCATGCATGCTTATGTTGCCTAACAATTCAAGATTTGATCATCAGAAATAATATTTAAATTTTTTTTTTAATTTTTAAAAATTAAAAAAACACTAAAAATTCACGGTTTGGAATTGAGTTTTTTCTCGAACATCCATACTTGCCAACCCGTAAATTGATTTGTATTGCTAAAATTGCTAACTAAAGAGTAGAAAATAAATAAATATAAAAAATATTAAAAAAACACGTTTCTCTGGTTTTTACAAAACTAAAAATAATGAAATAAAACAAATAAAAAAACTTTTATTTGTTTTCTCAACGTACAAATCCCGTTTTCTCAACGGACAAAAATGAAAAACATTTACTCTTACATAAAATTAAAGTTAAGTAAAATGTTATGTAATGTTATGTAAGAGTAAATGTTTTTCTTTTTTGTCCGTTGAGAAAACGTGGTTTTTAAAAGTTTTTTTATTTGTTTTATTTTAATGTATGCTTCCATGTATAAGCATATCATGCTTCTCCTTATTAAAAAATTACTAATGTAGATGAAAAACATTGGATGTTTCTGATTTTTTTTTTTGAACCAATGATTTAAACCTCTATACTAAGCTACATTTAATATATCGGTTTTACACATTCCTTTTCTATTTATTCCTCTAATACGTAAAATTACTAAAACGCTTATCTGCTTCTCATGAACGTTTCCGTCTTCCTTAAACTATTAAATTTTGCCTGGTTTTGGCAGGATAAATTAAACCTGTTATAGTTATCGTTCCCACGAAATATTTTCCTATTATGCCGAATTAAATAACACAAATAAAATTTGTTCTAGCATTGAAATTAAATTGGTTCTAACACTGGAATTAAATTAGTTCTAACATTGTAATTAAATTGGTTCTAAGATTGTTTCGCTGTGGCACAGTTCGTGGCACACGCCAACGTTCAGCAGCTGCTGGCGTCTGTCTGGTACGACGGGCTGCCCAACTTCAAACGACGTAGCAACTTTCGGCAGATGGTCGACGTCTTGCAGGTGGCGTCGATGTTCCCACTCTACTGCTTCTGCTTTCTGTTCCTACCAAATTCTAAGCATGGCAAGGCAATGAAACAACCCATCATCAAGTTCATCGTGCACTCCTCTTCTTATTGTTTCTTCTTGCGTAAGTTTAAACTTTTCATACTTAGCTTGATAAAATTTCCGTCTCGGGATCCTCTATGTGGCGCTTCGCCATTCACCTCGCATGACTAGTGTGACTAATAACATCTACAGGCCTTAGTTATATGTGCTATAAATATAATGAATTTATTATTTTGTTACTGAAGAATCATAACGTTATTTTGTAGTGGGTGTTACAACAAACTAAAACCTCTTCACAATAACTCCATTGTGCATTCTGCAATAACTCCAACAATACGACATCCATCTAAATCGCAGGACCAGGACAAGCTAACCAAATTGAGAACCACTTCTTTAGTATAAATCAAACGTGGAATTCTAAAGAAAGTAAAGCATCATTAACTCTCCGTAACCATAGATGCTCGGGTCACCCATGGACATATAGGGTAACAGTTGTATGATACCGCCCGCAATAACTATATATTATGACGAGGGTAACATATAGAATGGAATAGATGTGTCGGTATTGAAGAAATAGGTCCATGGCCTGTTGCCGATTCTTGAACTTTTCGTGACTTGATTCACAAGGGATCCGGCCTTTGGAACCCGATCTTTCCATAACTGACGGTTGATTGAGAAAGCTGCTGCACTTATTGCCTGGTCCGTAATTTGTTAGGCATTTTAAGACTGAACATATGCTCCTGCATAGCTTCATTTAGTCTGTTTTTGAAGCTCTATACTCGGAGCGTCAACGATGCTAAATGTTACCCTCGACATTAGATATTTATTGCATCTTCAGTGCTGATGGCAGTGATCTCGCTGCAACTATGTAGAAGCTCTAGTCACCTATGTACATATAGGGTGACATTTGTATACTCATCATTATAATTTTATTGTCGTCAGTTCTGCTGGTGGTTGTCTCCCTGCAAGTCGAGGCTCTGGTCATCGAGATGTTGGGAACTCCTGGCATGATCGAGCGTCTGAAGCGTCAACAAAAAGAAGCCAGAGGAGCCTTACCGTCCTACGTTGAGTTGCTGCTCTTCGTCTACATCGTTGGGTTCATTTGGGCCGAAATAAAGTCCTTGTGGCAGGCAGGAATCGTGGACTACCTCAAGGATCTCTGGAATATTATTGATTACATCACCAACTTCTTCTTCGTAAATTGGATCCTTTTGAGGTACAGATGAATTGGTTATTGATGCAACATTGTTTCTCCAATAATATCCCCAAACCTAATTAATAAATTTGCTCCATTATCCTCTGATTAGGAACATGTAGTAGATTTCCACTTATGTGTTATCAATTATGCATTTTTAGATTTATTTTCGTATTGTTAGTTTATTTTCTATATTAATTATAAATTATGCATTACACTTTACTAGAGAACTTATCAGCCACAGATTTAAGTGTCAATCCAGCAAAAGTTTTCACAATAAAAAAAATTCTAGGTCCGGGGCAAACAATGACAAGTCTCCAAGTGACACAAAATATTTAAGTGATTTTGCATAATTCCATGCATGTCAGTCTAAACAAGTGCAGTTCGTCATAAACCCCCGACAGATGGCTTATTTTTATTGACAAAATTGCGGGAAGCCCATCGTGGAGACCTCTGGTTCGGAACTATTTTGATGCATCGCTTCATCCCTGATCCACCCCAGATGTATTTTTTATTTATCCTCATAGTTGAATATTAATAAAATTTTCTTACAAATAATAAATGTAACAGAATGACAGCCTGGCTGCTGACCCAGAAAGAGCTAGCCGTTGGTTTGAACCCTTACTACCCGAGGGAGCTGTGGCATCCCTTCGACCCTCTACTTCTATCAGAGGGCATGTTTGGGGCGGCTAATGTCTTCAGGTGACTCATCATTTGTTAACATTGTTCTTTGTTATTCGCTTAGATACATGCAATGAAACTAATCCCTCGTGATTTTTTTAATCTAATTCATCATATTCTTCTATCTTAGAAAAAGTTAACCTTTGTTTGCCGACATAACACTTCAGGGCCTTTAGATTGAAATAGAAGTGACAACGGTTAGCGCACATGGATTTAACCTCTTCTTACCTTGTCTTACCTTGTATCCCTTACCTTGTATTTTTGATCAGATTAGATAAATTAATTTCTAATGATCATCCATCAAGTTGCTGGGTCACTTGGGTGTAAATCATGTGTTTGCAGGGATTGGCCCGTTCAATTTGATGAACATGAATCCGCGACTTCTGAGGTCAGGATGGAAAGATTTGGGTGGTTTCATTTGTTGTTCAATACAGAGCCGATGACGAGTGCTCGGGATGGCCGAGTGCACAAGATCTCTAAAATTGAAGTAGCGGCGGGTTTTGAAACATACAACTTGTTGTGAAAATTCTGGTCGTAATCAGGATGGTGGCTCGAAATCGACCATATAAAAAATATTATATATGTACACTATCATTGTTATATGAACAAGTTTTAATGAATTTTAATGAACAAATTTAGATAGAAAAAAATTTCTTTGCTTTTCGGTTTGTAGGAGCCGTGAAAGTCTGAATAGCGAAAGTCGGAATATTACAATTTTTATGAATCTTCACATTTTTCCACACCGTGATATCGGACTAAATTACTAAATTATTTCCGAAATTTGTTTCCTAGTGTGCAAGGAAAGTATTCGCATTCTGAAAAACTAAATCATTTTGATTCACGTAATATAAAACGGTAATCTTTCTCACAATTTTGTTTCAAGTTTTCTGAAACTCGTGCACACGTTCAGCGTTAACCCCCACCTTGGACCGTTGCAAATATCACTGGGTCGCATGGTTTTCGACATCATCAAATTTTTCTTCATCTACACGCTCGTCCTTTTTGCTTACGGATGCGGTAAGGCAAAATTTGTTTCCACGCCAGTTTTTTCTTTTGCTTTATAATTGTTTGAATGATAAACGTACTCATTACCGGCAATCAAGCCTTCTCTATTGTGTTAATTTTTTATAGTCAAGATGTTAGTCCTAATCATATTGTTGAAACTATTCGTTACGAAGGACTTGAGAGTGCACGATATGTCGTTGTTCACTCTTATTAAGATCAGTATCTGCTAAAACAAACAATATATTGGACAGTATTACGTGATTATATGAGCAATGATTTAAATGTACTGCGTGCATTAAAGTGCACACAAACCCAACAAATAAGTTTTTCATATCTACAGGACTCAATAACCTGCTGTGGTACTACGCTGATCTTGATAAGCAGAGATGCTACTCACTGCCAGGGGGTCTTATGAACCCCGACAGTGACATGTCTTGCTCGGTGTGGCGCAGGTTTTCCAAGTAAGTTATTGTATTGGGTATAGTAACTTATATATATATCAGAGGTCACGACAGGAAAAGAATGTGTGCGCAGGAACTCTAAGTATTTTCAGGTATCATCCGTGAATGATTTATGCACGAGTTCTATAACTCGAGTTAATATTACAGAGGAGACGTTAGACAATATGACATTTAATACGGTCCATCCGGTCACGAACTCAGGGCGTTTTGTCGATCATTTAAGGAAACGGACGACGAACATGAGGATGAAATGGGCTATAGGCAATGTCACCTACATCTTCAGTTCTGTGCTCAAGCTTTCAGGGTAAAATATATTGGGCGTGCACGATCACTAGCAAAATTTTTCGGGTGATGCGAGACCAGAAACAATAAGGCACCCTGCTAACGACTATGATGAGCGCTTCACAGCCACACTTATTTTCATTGTTCAATAGTGGGGGATTTTCACTCATAATCTTATTGGTTCTTATTGCGGCATAACGTGTATGCATCTTTTTTTCTTGGACAACCTTAAATTAAAATAAAAGTTAGATGCAGAAAACTTTAATAACTAAAAGAGTCTTAAAAGTCATGAAGGCATCCAAAGAAATTTTAAATCCAAAGCTGGCCCATGAAAATCATTATCAATATAATAAATATATGATGAATCCTAAATTTATTGAAATGATAGTTGTTATTTGTGCTTTTTCGTCTCCTACTTTCATTTTATTGTATTTATCCCCATTCTGGCCACTCACACACATGCACAAAGTAGGTTCTGCCGAGCTATATAGGCTTGCGATCATGTAAACACAGGATAAAATGCTCAGGCCATGAATATCTTTGTTCATCTCACTCAGTAAGCTCCATGAACATTAACTTGTTCTTATTTCCAATTCCAATTAATGCTAGCTATTATTTTTCCAAACTTGACATTATCTTTAATTTCATTCTAGTTTATTTGAGACGTCTCAGTCACTCTTCTGGGCATCGTTTGGACTCGTTGACCTCTACAACTTTGAGTTGACGGGCACCAAATCCTTCACGAGGTTCTGGTCGCTCCTGATGTTCGGCTCCTACAGTGCCATCAACATCATCGTCCTGCTTAACCTCCTCATCGCCATGATGTCCAACTCCTACTCGAGTATAACTGTGAGGACGAGTATGATTTTTTCATGTAATTTATCGGATCGGTATGTATACTTCTATGCCGCAATTGAGGCTTCAGGTGAAAGATTTGTATAATTAATGGCGGTGCATCCAGCGTCCGATGCCATTCGAGAGCCGCAATTCTAAAATCAGGAATATGCGTAGAATTAAAAATTTGGTGGTTTAACCTCGGCAGCGTTCAAAACTTGAGATCTCTTAGTTAATTTACTTAATGCGCGCCTTCAGAATCAATTAAAAAATTAGAAAATAGCGAATAAAGTACTGCCAATCTACGCCCATAGATATATTAGTGAAATAATAATGCTGAATGCCTCAAAACAATATGTTTAACTACTTACAAACTTGAATTGGCTAAGTGGCTGTACTGGCTCCAAGCAGCGGATGCCTTTCTTCGCATAATCCCAGCACGCTCTGCATGTTATTGTTTAATCTCACAACACTTAAATAATATAAGTCATCAAAAGGAAAACATTACTGCATCTGATTATGTTCATTAAATAAATAAATTTGAACTAAAGGAACGCTCCGACACGGAGTGGAAGTTCGCGCGCTCGAAGCTGTGGATGGAATACTTCGAGGACGGCGACGAGCTGCCGTCTCCGTTCTGCCTGATCCCTCGCCTGGGCCACCTCTCTTGTAAGGTCCACCCACACACACACAGCAGGAGCTTCAAGCGCCATCAGGATGAAGATAAAGATTCCCAGTACCAGGTACGTGGTAGTGCGCTGCATTAGTGCTTTATCCCTTGCAAGGTCCACCCACACACCCACAGCAGGAGCTTCAAGCGCCGTCAGGATGAAGATAAAGATTCCCAGTACCAGGTACGTGGTAGTGCGCTGCTTTAGTGCTTTATCTCTTGCAAGGCCCACCCACACACACACAGCAGGAGCTTCAAGCGACGTCAGGATGAAGATGAAGATTCCCAGTACCAGGTACGTGGTAGTGCGCTGTTTTAGTGCTTTAGTGCGTGCTTGACTAATGAGAGAGAGGGAATGTACTTGGAGCTGCATGGACAATTGTGCATGTTAGTCCTTCGCCCACGTCCATTTACTGACTGTACCAGATATAAAATGACATTATCAACTAATATCTGAATATCAGGGCATCGTTCACAGTAATTTATCTATACTAATTTACCGTTTTTTTGCCCTGAGCAAAATAAACATAAAAACTGAGCACTCAAAACTTAGCAGTTTTTCGGTTGCATTTTAGTCGACGACTGACACGAGTTATGATGAGATCTTGTGATTCTCAACTTAAATGAACATGTTCTATTTATATTGATTTATTTACACATGCTTCATAAGTAAGCTAAAACTTTAATGTGTCTAGCACTTTTTATGTCGCCTATTCTCTATTTAGATTAGTAATCCATGAGTAGAGACAAATTCGCTAGTAAACATCTTTCAAGGAATATTTACATAACATTTTACATAGCATAGCAAATTTTTATGGCATTTAAATACGAATATCAGACATCAAATATACTTCGGAGCAAGTGGTAGGCAACAAATATCTACATCACCAATAAAAATTCTCCACTTAGGACGTTGAGACAGTTTCCCTTTTTATTCGCATTTTTACACAGAATGTACAAAATAAAATATTATCGGAGCGAATAAGATTGCCTTCATTATTTATATTTCGACCCATTTGTCTTCCTGCGCTTCTGGTATACTTTAGCCATATTATGTTTCTGAAGTGCAAGTCTGAATATTTAGATTAGATTTATGTTGTGTGGATTTTCGCCCTGATAATCATTATTACTAAATAGTAAGTTATCATCGTTTTTCAGACATTTTTCTGTTTTTCAGTAATTAATAATTTGATATTCGAACATACTTAAACTCTCCTGTCTGTTCATATGGTCAACTGAAAATTGGTTCGAGCTCAGAAAATAAAGGTATACGATACACATCAATGGGGCAAGCATATACATTTGAATCTTCCTCTCGATCTCAACAGCTACTGAATAAGCGCCAACATAATATAAATTTAACTATTCAATGTGAAATGATGAACACGACATCTGTTCTTTTTACTGCAAGTTTATATAATGAAAGAATAAAGAATATTTAGCCATAAGTTTAATATTGTTTACGGAAAAATAGTTTTTAACTCGAAAACCTTGAATGTCGACAATCATCGTCATACCACCCCAAACACAGCGTACGATGCGCAACCTCGTCAGACGCTACGTGACGACCGAGCAACGCAAAGTCGAGGAATCCGAAATAACGGAGGACGACGTCAACGAAATCAAGCAAGACATCAACAGCTTCAAGTACGAGCTACTCAACATCCTTAAAATCAACGGCATGCAAACCGGCACTGCGCACCACAAGGACGATAGTGAGTTTATACTTGATTTGGTCCAAGGAGCGAAGTCACCGAGACTGGAGCAGCGAGCCGCGGGTTTTAGCCTCAGTATTTCTGCAAATATCGGCTATGTTACCATGCTAGGTAGCGCTTATATAAGAAGTTGGTAGCGCTAAAAAGCGCGGTAATAGATGCATTTGTCTTGAACGGATCTCATGCTTAAAAGTGGGCTTAAAATGTGGGCGTCCTAGAGAGCTTACTGTCAGGATTCCTTTACCAACATTTGCGCATCGTTGTGGTAATGGTTAGCATCATGTATACTGTATAACCGTGTCATAGAGGTGATTGTGAGCCCTCATAATTATTCGTGAAATAAAGCCCACTCGGAGCAGATCTCTAGTACATGATACTCACTCATGAATTAGTTGACACCATTAATATTAATATCGCATCAAAGTGATGGCTGCGAGTCTGCACATGATAGTAGGTCAATTATTATCATTATTATAATACAAGCTTTCGGCTGGTAGCGGCCGTCGGTCGTAAGCAGCAGGCGCGGGAGCGGCGGCTGCTGAAGGGCTTCAACATCGGCCTCGTGGAGGGTCTGGACGGCGGTCTAAGTGTGGCCAAAAAGGCAGAGGAAGACCCCATCCAGCGACTGGCCATTATCTTCCTGAAGGTTAGATAATCTTATTATTATCATTTTGAGAAACTTCTTCAATTATGTATGCCATTTTACGATTACTGTAAGACATTTATTCAGCTGACAATGAGGGTGGAAAGCGTTTTCCAGTAGCCGGAAGACCCCTGTTCCTGAAGCCAATAGATGTTGCATACGAACCTCCGGTTCTGCTTACTGATGGGAACTTTTTAAACACGGTCCATACCAACAGTTGCTGCTTATTTACGTACCTTTTGCCTGTGTCAACAGACATTATGAGAAGACAATATTTTTTCCCTGTATAATATGCGAGGCGTAGAAACGTTCATTTTGCCTTTGTTAACAGGCACTTCACAAAGACACTCCTATTGACTGGAACGCCGCAGTGGGTCGCCAGCCTCGCGACCACATCGGCAGCAGCTCTGCTCATCTACGGCGCCTTAGCCTCAGGGTGAACAGGAGGCGGCACACTCCGTGGAGCAGGGTGAGTTATGCCGGTAGGGGAGCAGGGTAAGTGGGACACCCACTCATGGAGCATTGTGAGTTAAGCCTTGAATGTTTATGTCATTAGTCCTGAAGAAATTTAAATGCATCTCAATGGTCAGAGTAAATTGAAGAGGGACCATTCACCCATGAGGAAGAATGAGTTGAGCAAAAATGAGGAGTGAAAATGTATGACATCTTCTTGATGGTGACTTGTGGAAGAAGTGGGAAGAAGATAGGTGCTTAGGAATTGATTGTACTCATTCTAGTTGCATATAAATAGTTCATTCCTTTTCTGTGTTAAGTTTAAAAGAGGTAAATTGAACTTACTCAGATCTATCAGGTTTATTCACTTTTTTCCGACTCGCAGGTCCAGTTCTACCAGCGACGCGGTGTCTTCTTCGGGGGAGAGATCAATCCGTCAGTTTTGTGTGAAGCGAAAACCAGGATGAAGCCCGAGGTGAGAATAGAATTTGTGCTACCTTCGTCCCAGTTAATTATAGAATTTACTATTGTTTAAACTTGGCAAAAAGGATTTCGGTAGGTCTATGGAGAAAATGCCATATAAATGAAGCAAGGTAACTTTGATGTGCGTTTACGGTTGTCTGACCCAAAGTAACTTTTACGATAACATTTGTTTTCTTCTGTCATTCTATTTCAATCCCTCGCTTCTCACAATATCACTTATTTTCGCCGTTTCGATTCATTTCCAGTTGCGCAGTCAAGCTATAGGCTGGAGGAAGCTGCAGCGTCTAGCTGACCTCGGAAAAGTGACCCAAGGCTTTTATGATCGTCAAACTAACGCCCTAGAGGCCAGTCGGTCGCCAGAAGAGTCGAACATCATTCTTGAAGGAAATGATAAAACGATGTCGTCTGCACATGAAACGAGTAAGCCTCCGCTTTCTTCCCATCCTGACAAAGAAAGTGCAACAGGAGGTCAAACTAACGCAGCGTTCGAGCCTGATGATGGATGTGCCGAGAAGTTCGTAACCGAAAATCAGACTCAATCTGTCCTTCATGTAGAAAAAAGCACTCCATCTCGGGATAGAGTTGCGCGAGGGAACAAGTCACACCCACGAAGCAGTGAAGCAAAGTCTGCGAAGAAAATTCACTCAAACGTCGATGGCGTTGAAATGGAACCCGATCAAGACCCATTGGTGATTGGCTTAATTGAACGTAAATCGGTAAAGAGTGAGAAGAAAGCTAAAGAAAAAGGTATTGATGCCACCGAAAAGAAGATCGAAGATAAACAGAAAGTCGAGTCTGATGCTAAACCTTCAGCCTGCAAACCTGGGTCTTCCTTGAAGGCCGGCTGGATCTAAAGGAGATACGTTACCGACGTTCCGAACCTCATATATATAAATATTTTATTTTCAGTTAATACTATGATCTTCCGTACCGAAACGGTCATGTCATACTGTTGATATTGAATGATTCAAATCTTCGAATATTTCTGCGTACTTAAACTATTGCGTTGTCTTTGGACGAGTTCTGTGACCTGCTGCTGTACCCTGATCATCTTGGACGCTGAGCCGATGAAAATAGGATGCATTGCGATAGTTTCGTCAGCGTCACCTGTCAGTAGAACCGCCATGAGTAATTGAGGAGATAAACGGTCCTCGTTGTCGTTGTTACAAAAAAGTAGAATTAACAAAGCAACGATGGTAAAAATGCAGAGATCTCTGGCTTCGAGGAGCATATTTTGTCCGTGTAGTCCAAGTACAGTGTACACTATCTTATCCCGAAATGTGAGCCCGCTAAAAGGGTAACCATCTGCTTACCTTCTAGGTCTATTGACTAAGAATCATATTGTATCCATTAGACCTTTTGTAACAAATAGCTTATGAAATCTGTTCAGAATATAAATTAATCGTCAGTTTTTTAATCGTTGAAGTCCAACTTGAAAGTCAATTCCAACTTGGAAACGTTCAATTCAAAAATAAAGCGGAAGTTGGCATGATGATTGAGTCTCATCAAATCGGACAAACACATTTCATCGCCATTAAAATTTCTATTTATCCGTTTCATTTAATTTTACGCAAAAATATATGTACAAACTTGGAAACTACTAATTTTAGTAATTATGTCAAGGTTCCAGTTAGACTTCCCCAAAAGGTTACTCATCAGGAGTTATATATTATCCGGTACCTAATGTTTAAAAACTGTTCGTCTGATTTTCACTGGATTAAACATTATTTTTTGGTGCGAGGCAACATTGTGAGCAGGTGGATTTTCCTAATTTTGATGAACTGATTTCAAAGTATTCAATAGTTTGTTCTGTAGTCTGCATGTCTCTTAAATGGTTTCTCTTTAGTGTGAACAGGGAATAATTCCGCATATTCATGGTCATACAGCAGCTTATAACAGGTAAAACATGAGAGAGAACCTGATGAAATGAATTTACTTAGACGACATCTTTACGTAACTAATGGTAACACAGACAGGCAGAGAGAAAAGACTGGTGCATTTGTCTCCTGGATGCCAGCCACTTGAGAGAATCCAGCGGATGTCTTCGGTCAAACTGACGTTTCATTTGCCATGATAATATCTCTCCATTTTCGTAAAGATGTGTGGATTTATTTTCCATGCTTGTCACTCACAACCTCGAGGTTTATGGAAAAGGAATTGAGGTGGGAACGATAAATGAATCTTGAGTAACATTTTGTACTTCTTATCTACTTAAGACTTTATCAACTCAAAACAGGCTTAGTAATTTGGGACTCGTGTGTTATACCACAGAAGCTACTACAGACAGGTTCGAATGCTTCCCAAGCCGGTTCTAAATTAACCCTCTACCGTCTGACATGAGTAACCGGAGCAATATTATCACAAGCCTACTTCCCAAAAAGGATACGTTGCTAGTGAGAGCAAAATGATTTGCACTGATTTACTGCCAAGTACGATAACTTTAAAATGTTCTCTGTTGAGTACAAACGTCTTCAGGTTGCTACAGTCAATAGTTCACGAATCATTTAAGTTGAAAGGTATGTTCCCGGAGAATAACATACGGCGGTAGACGGTTAAGAAGCTTCAAAAAATTGGTATCCTTAGACACATCTTGTATATTTGCGCTCCGATTGAGCACTAGCAGCACCATGGAATTGACTGAAGCTACGCTGAATTTCATGGCCGCAGATATTGCAGGTTAATTCAGAAAATTAAATTAGGGAGAGAAATTAATGATGGGGCATTTTAATTCATACGTTACTAATGTCGGGACTACCTAATATATCGTAGATTACATGAAACTTTATTGACATATTTAAATTTTAATTACTGAGCCAAGCAAATAATAAGATTAGACACAGTACGTACGAAATGTATAAATCCATACTTTTAACTCTGTCGGGGACTCAAAACCCAGTTTAGTTGCTGCATAGTGGTTTAAAAAATGGTGATGAGGGCGTTGTGAAGCCACAAACTTAAGAGAGATGGTGCAGAGAGCGCTGTAGAGCCGCAATACATTGAACTAGTGGAGTAGAAAGTGTCCTAGAGTCATACTACTTGGCAGTGCGATGTGATGTAGAATGTCGTAGAACCATACTATTTGACAGTGGTAATGTAGAGGGCGCCATAGAGCCATGCTACTCGGCAATGGTGATGTGATGTAGAATGTCGTCGAACCATACTATTTGACAGTAGTGATATAGAGGCGCCATAGAGCCATGCTACTTAGGAGTGCTGATGTAGAGGGCATCGTACAACCACTCTGGCCCGTGTGTGGCCACAAGACAACGCGTCTTGAAGTAGAGGTCGGCGGGTTGGTAGCGTGGCTGAGGCCAGCGATCCAGCAGAGCGGATGCGAAGGCTTGAAGGACGGGTGTCAGGTCCGTGCTCTGAGGGAGGAAGAGTGTACATGTACAGTTAGATACAGGAAACGGGGGTTGATAAATAGAGGCAGTTGACAGAGAATGACGAATTAACACCGATGAAATGATTGGATAAAGTAGAATGAACGGGCGCATGAAGTGCAGTTGGGCAGAATGCTGACACGTAATGAGTGTAGTTGGACAGAAGTTTTCGGACGGACACGTGGAGTGCAATTGTGAAGAGTTAACTGGTGGACAGACGTGACTGGGTAGATTGGTCGAAATTAAGAACTAATCTTGGGGACTGCGATGACTAATAAACAGTAGGATTGGGAAAGGGATGACAAATATATGAAGGACATGTATGTCAAAAGGGCTTGATGACTGAACGGTTGAGCCGGTGTATACTGAACGGGAGAGCCGGTGTATATTTTTAAAAGGAGGACTGGCAAACTGAGGGACTGGTAGACATGGGAACTGGTGGACAGGACTGGGACATTTGGGCAGGGGGAACTGATGGACAAGAATGGTGGCAGGGGGTAGAGCTAGAGCGAGAAAGGCAAGAGGAAAGTAAGAACAGTTGAACTAAAGGACTATCGAACATAAAGTGCTTTTGGACTGAAGGAGTGTACAGACGGTCAAATGAAAAGGAGAAAATGATTTAAAAATATTAAATGGAGTTGAGTTGAGAGTGGGAAAAGACGTCAAGAGTTGATATGTAGGACATGAGCCGGGCCAATATAATTCGTGCGACAACAAGCCGTACAGCCACGACCGCTGCTGGCCGCAATATCTTGGAAACGCCGAATTTTGTACGAAATTGTCTATGGTAGAAAAAAGTTATTGCCTTAAACGATTTAAGAGTTATTGAGCGAATGATTCAATATTAAACAACAAACAGGCACAAGTTCCCACCACCAGAATCCAAGCTTCATATTAACGTTCCTGTGTTGAGGCAGGTCTAACAAGCATACCACAGCAACAATACGTCGGCCACCATACACTTGGCAACCATTCTCCGGCAACCATACCTCGGTCCATACACTTAGCAACCATGCCCCTATACAAGACGCTACACTCATGGTGTATCAGCCACCTGGCAACACCCTAAGTTGGGTTGGGGTGGCGGGCTCTTACCCCAGCGTCGGCGTATTTCTTCATGACGGCCACGCGGCGCCAGAAGAGAGACTCGCCGTACAGCGCCCGCACTTCCTCGCCCATCGTCTCCCACAGCCGCGTTGCCGTCGCGTCCACCCCCGCCGCCGTGAAGATGTTAGTACCTGCGGCGCGTGGAGGGGGCAGGGGAGTATTACTAGCATCAGGCCGCAACATGAAGCAGGGTTCTGTAGTTGTCAGCAGCGCAATATGAAGCAGCGTTCTGCTGTTGTCAGCAGCGCAATATGAAGCAGCGTTCTGCCGTTTGGGGAATGAGAAATGATGGCATGGTTCATGGTGCTATATGTGGGATGAACACTAATTCATATTCTATAATGGGCACTGTAACGGAACGTGGTAATGGGTGCTGTGACGGAACGTGGTTATTGAACAACAGCTCACAAGCCTGGAAGAAACCTTCGGTGTACACCGTTGTACAGATGAACAAATCTTGCGGAATAACTCTCATATATTCCTTGTGAATAAGCACACCTATTTCAGGTACAATTTATTTTAAGTCCTTATAATATTTAACAAGGAAATTTGGAGCACCTGCAATGTAGTTGCCGGGCTCGATGATGCTCACGTTGACCCCCCAGTCCCGGAGCTCGTACCTGTCGTTTAGACGATTCGCTCAGACTCAATCCAACACATATTTGACTAGGTGGAATATTTTAGTATTTCTATATTAATTCATGGTAGCTGCGATTAATCAGAAGAACAGTAATCATGAATTCATTTGTTGACGGTTGTACCTAGACTATTTTCTTCTATATGTTTATCCAGAGTTTTTTTCACCTTCGGTACAGTGACATACTTATTACTCAATTGTCAGTATGTTATTTGTTGGAATCAACATTTTAGTTGATGTAGTAAAATGTTCAATGATTAATTCTGAGAGGTGTATCCCAGATAAAAATTATTGGTGGAGCATCGACGACGACGATTATTGGTGACTATAGGTGGAAATTATAGGGAGAGCACCGATGGCGCACCAACGCGGACTCGATGGCGTGTCCACCTATAACCTGCCTATGGCCACCCCACCCGGAAAACTCTTTTTCCGCCAAAAACTGCCCATTGGCACCGGTGACACATCGATGAGCCACCGATGGCCATCTTTAAAATGAAGTCGAACAATTTTTCCTTTAGCTAGAGCGAGAGGCATGGTTATCACACATCCGATGCATTTGCATTTACGATGTTGCTTCAAACGATCATTTTCTGAGTACTACGTAAGAAAATCCACCCTGGCAGAACTAGTAGCAATGTCAGACATGAAGCAGGAACAAATTTTCAGAGTCCCATACAAATACCTCGTGAGAAATCGACTTGAGGAAGAGTCCCTGCCTGCAGGATTCGAACTCCGATCTCTTTCACGCAAAGCCAAGCCTCTACCGTTGAGCCATCGGACAGGACATGACAGTTGAGTAATTTTAAAATATTTAATATAAGTATTGCAAATATAATTTCATCAAATGGTAGAAGTTAATGCTACCACCATGATGATTAGATGGTTCCATTAGCCATTGCATATGAACATGCTGATAGACTCGAGAAAACAGCCCCTGAAAGATACTTCGTTTATCCAAAACGAACGATGCTTCAGCTCAGAGTAAGGGCTACGGGAAAATGCTTGATAAGCATCGAAGTTGCATAATTCATTACACTAATTTTAACTGCGGGTCGATTCGAAATATTTTCGCCAGAAATATTCTTGCGTGTTTTAGCGAATCATCACTCAATGATTTTGAAATGTTAGGCGTGAAATACTTTCGTCACGTCGTGTCACTATTTTTCTCTGGCCTAATGTTTAATAATTTTCGTAGGAAAGACACCGACACCACTTATTAGAAATGTGGACGTAAACTAAAAATAATCATCTGACTGTTTAATAAAATTTCCCCAAAGTAAGGAAATTTCACTTTCGAAGTCAGCGATAGAAAATCGAATTCTTACTCGTATCCCTCTGCGCAAAGAGGATACTACTTTGGCATGCAAATTGCTCGGAAAGCACATATTTCAAGTAGGACGTGTAAACGATTTAATGAGGAAGAAGCTCAACGCCAACGCGCTCCAACCCAACAGATATGAAGGTGTACACGTATACCTGCTCGCTGCGCTTTAAGATGCCGAGCCGCTGTCGACTACGTCAACGTGGCTTTAGATAAATGCGCCAACTTGAGAGTAATATAAGTATTATGAAACACACATAATTGAACCATATTATTTATACTTAATGATACAATTAATTAGTCTCAATTGTTCGCAATATTTCAAGCACATAAAGTTGGCGCATACTCAAAATTCGCAATAAATTTACGCAATATATTAGGTGAACATGAAAAGTTGGATTCACCATCATCTTTTGGAAAATTTTATTATCGCAACAAAATTTTCCACTCTTCATCGGACAATTTATATCAGAAGCAGTCTGATGCATGCCCAGTTGCTTCACTTTGGCATGAAAAATATGTGAATACCCTTCAACTGTCTGTCAGTTTTACTCGCACCTACCGAACTCACGCTATATTTTCGCTAAATTTACTTGAATCAAAATTTTACAAGCCAAGCAAGCGGAACGAATTCATGGTTTTGTCTGGATCTCGAATAAACCGCAACCCAATAACTCTTTTCTACGTTGAATAAATCACAGTGACAAATTCCTTCGTGCACTGCGCAGTTTGGGCAAACAGTTAGAGGTGGCTTACAAGAGATTTACCTGCCATGCTTCATCGATGATTCAGATCCTATAAATTATCGATGATTCATCGATGACTACCACCTATACTCGCCACCCTCTCGATTTATTGGTTTTTATTGTCAATTTTTGGAAGACCCACCGTTCCGCCACCTGTAATCTACCGTCGCCGCCAATAATTTTCGATGCGCCACCCTTAATTTTTATTTGGGATGGTATTGCACTTCTAACGGCCACGCTGTAATAATTGGATAACCAAATTTAAGGTAATGCCACATTAATGGCCTACTTCAGGCAGAGTCTCTTGCCTAGAATGTAATAATGAACCAAGCTGCATAAACAATTTCCCTAAATTAAAATCAATGCTCACTGCAAACCTCATGCAGTCGCTGAGGCCCTCGACAGCATACTTAGAGGCGACGTAGGGCGACCGCATGGGCACCGCGAAGCGGGCCAGCAGACTTGAGATGTTCACAACGCGACCTGCCCGGCCGGTGACAAGTTGTGGTCATCTCTTCTCATGGAAAGACCGGCATGCTTGAAGTGATGTTATGGTAATTTATTAAGCTGATAATATAACTATGTTCATGATATGACCAGCCTGCATGAAGTAATGCAATGGTAATGGAATACGCTGATAATATAACTATGTCCATGATATGACCAGCCTGCATGAAGCAATGTTATGGTAATGGAATGCCCTGATAATATAACTCTGTCCGTGATATGACCAGCCTGCTGGAAGGAATGTTATGGTAATGGAATACGCTGATAATATAACTCTGTCCATGATATGACCAGTCTGCCTGAAGTTACGTTATGTAATGAAATGCGCTGATTATATAACTCTGTTCGTGATATGACCAGCCTGCTTGAAGTAATGATACTGTAATTGATTACGCAGATTTGATATCTCTTATTATAAAGAATGGCCTATATGTAGTAATTATGTGTTATTGGATTACGCTGATTATTGAGAGTGCAAAACTTTCTATACATTATTCCCTATTTTCAAAATATTGACAGACTTGAACTAAATTTCTGTGAATTCTGCTACTGGAAAATGCAAACCACATACAAAGTGCAAATTTCAGAATTCACAAATTTAAAAATGCTTTTTTAGAAAAAAATTAACATATAATAACATATAATTAAACAAAAAACATTATTAATGTAGAAGCATTACATTAAGTGGACACAATTTAATTCGAAAGCTGGAACAGTGCATTTCATAACCAATGCGCACGTTTAATTTGTCACGCTTGCACCGACGGATGTCATCTACGTATCGTTCTTATGACCACATCGAGTATACATGGCAAGTGGAAGCGAGGAACCTGGGCTGTCGTGACTTCCTACTTATTCTTACAAATATTCCTACAAATATTACTCCAAATTTCCCTATAAATATTCCTACAAATATTCCTGCGAACATACCTACAAATATTCCTACATTCCAATTGATGACGACTACCTCTAGCCTTCCTGACGAGGGGCAGGAACGTCTGCGAGGTTGCGACGATGCCCAGGACGTTGACCTCGTAAAGGCGGCGGTAGTCGTCCAGGGAGAGCCACTCCAGGTCACCGAACGTCGCCAGGCCCGCGTTATTAACCACCCCCCACAGCACCTCTGGGTTACGTTATCATTTGTCGCCTTTACGAGATATTATTATTATTATTCACTATGCATTATACATCATTTATCATTGTACGTTGTTGCGTTATTAACCACCCCCCACAGCACCTCTGGTTACGTTATCACACATCATTTATCATTGTACGTTCTTGCGTTATTAACCACCCCCCACAGCACCACTGGTTACGTTATCATACATCATTTATCATTGTATGTTGTTGCGTTATTAACCACCCCCACAGCACCTCTGGGTTACGTATTAATTTTTGTCGCCTATTACGAGATATTGTTATTATTATTAATTATGCATAATACATCACTTATCATTGCTCGTTGTTGCCAGCGGGCTCTGCCATGGAAGTCTGGTTTATGATTTGTGTCTAAACTTCATAGATATTTTTGTTTGCTTATTTTACTTCAATTACTTCGACACGATCATAGTTATATCCAGCAGTCATCTGACAGTGAAACAGCATCACATGAAACAACAAATTACTATATGACTTCAGATTGCAGTTTTAACTAACCAAAATTGATTAGACAATCTCTGCGAGGATAACAAAATCGCTATAACGACTTTGAAATAACTTCAGTTGTCGATTAATACAAGTTTGATCAATTAGTCACCAGCCATTCAACATTTACATTCGATCTAAATGCCAATTTTAGGATTTGAAAACCATTTAATTTTTGAACGTACATCATTACTCCACCATTGAATGACGATGAAACTTTGTTCTTCAAGTTAAAATTTCAATTCAATTGTACGCTTGGTTTCGAAAGAAGATGTATACTTGTACAGCTTCGTAAATTGCTTTAATCCAGTGTTAATAGCGTATGATTAATGGAACCATAAAACTGGAACGTGTCGGTGGCAGTGCACAAACTACCAAAATATCCATGTATTTTTCAATATCTTTTCTCAACGTGACGTCGCGATTTGATATCAAGGTCCTAAACGAGCAAAATAACGTAGTGCAAGAAACAATAATTGAATATTCTTTGACGTCGATGTGACGGCACGACAATGACGTTGGCTCAAAGTTCAGTAACATAATCTAATATTAGTGATAATCAAGTATAATTTGTAAATAACATGTAATTTGCAATTAATATTTGCCAATAATATTTAATTTATAACTAATATTTGTCAATAATGGTGGTATTGGCGTTAATTGGTCCAAATCTGGCCTCCCACAGAATCTATATATAACATAAATTTACAGCTTGCCCAGCATGTCACCATAACCCCCGGGCACCGGTACTTTACCCCATGATACCCCACCACCTCACCCCAGCCCCCACCACCTCACCCCAGCCCCCGGGATGTCAAGGTCTCACCACCAGGGGGCAGCAGACGCAGCACCCCAGCCCCCCACCACCTCACCCCAGCCCCCGGGATGTCAAGGTCTCACCACCAGGGTGCAGCAGACGCAGCACCCCAGCCCCCATCACCTCACCCCAGCCCCCGGGATGTCAAGTTCTCACCACCAGGAGGCAGCAGACGCAGCAACCCAGGAACTCCCTCGCAAGAAGCACGGTGGAATTGAGATCGGAATCTGGAAACTCTGACGGATTTGTTAAACACGTACTACTTCACATAAAAAAACTTGACCTCTGCGTAGCCATAGTCTATAGGCCGCCTGCTTGCCCGTCGGAAAATTTTAACAAAACCCTTAAGGAAATAGAGGCTCCCCCTCCCCCTCACGCAGGCAGAGAGCAAACACCCGCAGGCCCTGCCCGGGGCACGAATAAATTCAGGCTAATTTTGGTCATTAATGGTTAAATAAATATAAGCCGGGGAAGACAGAAATGTCTAAATTAAATGCAGTATTGATGCAAGATACGTAATAGAATGGCTTGCAGTACCGAGAATGTGATTGGGTTTACGGGGAGGACAAAATGTCTAAATTAAATGCAGTATTGATGCAAGATATGTAATAGAATGGCTTGCAGTACCGAGAATTGGGTTTAGACTGTCTGGGTAACACGTGGGTAACTCACGCCGCCGTGCAGGTGCAGCGCCAGCTGGTGGCCGATGNCGCGTCTTGCTAACAAGAATTGTGACACGACACGCGTCTTGCTAACAAGAATTGTGCAGTTCCTGAGTGTATACACGACACGCGTCTTGCTAACAAGAATTGTGCAATTCCTGAGTGTATACACGACACGCGTCTTGCTAACAAGAATTGTGACACGACACGCGTCTTGCTAACAAGAATTGTGCAGTTCCTGAGTGTATACACGACACGCGTCTTGCTAACAAGAATTGTGCAATTCCTGAGTGTATACACGACACGCGTCTTGCTAACAAGAATTGTGACACGACACGCGTCTTGCTAACAAGAATTGTGCAGTTCCTGAGTGTATACACGACACGCGTCTTGCTAACAAGAATTGTGCAATTCCTGAGTGTATACACGACACGCGTCTTGCTAACAAGAATTGTGACACGACACGCGTCTTGCTAACAAGAATTGTGCAGTTCCTGAGTGTATACACGACACGCGTCTTGCTAACAAGAATTGTGCAATTCCTGAGTGTATACACGACACGCGTCTTGCTAACAAGAATTGTGACACGACACGCGTCTTGCTAACAAGAATTGTGCAGTTCCTGAGTGTATACACGACACGCGTCTTGCTAACAAGAATTGTGCAATTCCTGAGTGTATACACGACACGCGTCTTGCTAACAAGAATTGTGACACGACACGCGTCTTGCTAACAAGAATTGTGCGATCCCTGAGTGTAGATTATGGCAAAATTCGATGAGCACACAACATTTTATATCACGAACTCATCACTATCATTAGCAAATCATCAACTACTAACTCGTCATTACTATTGATTCATCATCACCCCTGGCTCATCATTATTCTTCAATTCTGAGACAATTCACCACAACCCACACCTCGTGTCACAATATGACAGCGTATTTTATACCGACGCCCGCACCAGCTGACGTCATCAGATCAACTCGCAACGATTCAATGTAAAGTCTGTTAATTGTAACCCACAGCCCTATTTCATGCATGATAATTATGAAATGGTTATAAAATATTCTAATTCCTTATAGAATTCATAACAAATACTCATAAGTTGAGCTTGGTTCTCAATTTATGGATGGATTAGAATAACTTTTGATCAATAAATCGGTGCGAAATATAAACGTGAATTGCAGTACGGTACACAAGCGCTTTGTGACTGGATTTATTTTCATGGTACAAAAGAAGCGCAATTTCAACGAAATGGCCAGCGGTCCCTATCAACAAAAAACAGGCACCCATCAAACATCTCCAGCACCCTTGGTAGAGTGACCCCTCCCTCCAGCACCCTTGGTAGTGAACGTAACCCTTGGTAGAGTGACCCCTCTCTCCAGCACCCTTGGTACTAGTGAACGTAACCCTTGGTAGAGTGACCCCTCTCTCCAGCACCCTTGGTACTAGTGAACGTAACCCTTGATAGTGAACGTAACCCTTGGTAGAATGACTTCTCCCTCCAACACCCTTGGTTGTGAATAGAGTGACGGAAACTATCATGACTCATTGCAGCATTGCCCTTGCAATATGTGTTGTACGTGAGATCATAGACAAAAAGTTGATAATTGTGCTGATTGCGGACTCCATATTTAAATCGGTACACTCCCTAGTGATAACAGAAATAATTTTTTATGGTATTTCAGCGGTTCGTCGATACTGTTTATTAATACTAAAAACTGTATTGATAGGGAGAGCAAAAAGCAGAAAACCACCTCTGACGACGACAAGATTCGACCCTATGTGGACACCTCCTCTTACCTTCGTAGCCAACTCTAGCTCACAATACACTACTGCAACTTGATAATGTTTCGTAGCTATGTTATTTAATGAGGTTGTTTTGTTTGAGTTGTTCATTTGATCTGCGTGTGTCTTTCGAACATGAATAAAGATTATATTTTTCGAATATCGTCTTTTTTCTTTGAATGATTTATTTCAATTATAGTGTGTAATCATCATAAGGCGAGAAATTCATCTTCTTTCGAATTATTTTCTTCTCTCCATTACCCTGAAACTTCTTGGAATTGAGAACGTTACGCTTTTAAGTGTGAATCTTCGATACGGACGGCTTATCTTCAGTATTCTTTTTCGTGACAGTTCGGACCGGTGAAATTTTTTTCGCGTGAAATGTAGCATAACGACTTTAAAATATTGAAAAGGCAAGTATTCCTCGAAAGAGTTACACAGAATGCATACAAATCATTTATAGCATTTAATCATAAGTAATTTGTCACGTTTGCATTGGAAATTTGCTAACATGGAGATAATCGCTTAATCGACTACGATCGGGAAAACATACAAAACGGGCTCGATTGTTCGCAGTCAAAATTCGTCAAAAAATTTCTAATAATTATAAGTTTTGTAACATATTTCTAAAGATTTTTCAAACAATATCTTATGGTTCTTCAGACTTTCGTGATTGTCTAAACACAGCATGCAAATTGCAAACACAATTATCAACTACGAGATGATTTATATACAAAAAGGTGTCATCAGCCACGTTCGAAGCCACAATATCAATTGCCTGTTTCTTCCAGGCAATTATTTAGGAAAGAAGCGCGGTGACATTATAACTACGTCTCATACACGACTGAAGCATCGGAGTTACAGTCAAGGCGATAGTCTGATATTGAAGTTAAGTTGAGAACGCTGGTTGGATACTAAGCAGATATAACTAATCATATTATCATATTCCGATCATTATCAATGCCTGCAGTTGTTATCTTGCCAATATCTACTGTAAAAGAAAACCGAAGGCCACGGAAACACGATTCTGTTCCCAAAAGTTTCGGAAACTAAAACTCTTGATAATTATCTGTACAGCCCTAAATGAAAATCATTTATTATTTTATGTTCCTATATTAATTCGTATTGGCGTGGGAGTTCCGACACTTAGACATAAAATTCAAGTGAATACAAGTTAAATAAACTTACGTGAGGTAGGAACCGTATAAAATGACGTGATACAATGACAAGACTAATTAATTTAATTAAAACAATTGACCGTTATTTTAAATAAAAGCGAGAATGAAATGGATTGATATCATGATGAGTTTTCCGATTGTTGGCAGGTGGAATACTTAACAAATGAGACATGGGGATATTAATTTAATTGTAGCTACTAAAGAAAGTAATACACGATTAAGTTCCTTATCTTCAAAGTCTTAAGTTGAACGTTGGCGAGCGTATCGCAAGGAAAATTCCACGAGTCGAAAAATTCACCGTCCACTTTTTTATGATTGTCGCGTATGGCGTTTTCTCTAAATTTTCTAACTGAGGATGGAGCTTGTCTCCGAAACGCTTTCTCAAGGATATAATAATAATAATAATAATTATAGCGGTTTCAGCGTTATTAGGCCGTAGGCCTGTCGCCGATTCTTAACATCGCAGAACATTCACATAAGAGATGCGACGTACGAGAATATACCGGAGGTTATACTGTAAAATTAACAGTTACGAACCAAGATTAGATTGATGGAACAAGTGCTATTGTATCATATGCTATTAATCATTATGAGGATCATGATATATTGATCAATTTATGCAAAATTAAGATTAAATATTTCGAGACTAACCTTCTAATTTATTACCACTGGGGTCAATTTAGAAGTGGCTAGAAAGCCGTTTAGAGGTTCAGAGGTGTTTGACAGTGCAATGATTAGTAAATTAGTGAAATGGCCGACCCAACTTCGCTAAATTAGTAAGGGTTAAAGCGCCACAGGGCGTAAAGTTAAAGGCTCGAAAGCCGGCAATACTGCCAAGTTTAATTAATGCGTCAGAGACGTCTGAAAGGGTTGGGTCAGACCAAAATAGTAACGTGGCATGCAATTCACACTCTGGTCACTGCGATCAATACAGTAGCCTAGAACACCATTTGAGTCACCTCCGTATCACATAAGCCAGTCAAAGTTGAGCCCTTGATGCTTCTTTATGTCTATTGAAATCAATACTTAAACTAACTTAATCTTTAAGGTCTCCGTTACAGTAAAACGGAACATAATTTCCAATAAATGGAACAAACTAAACAAAATTTCTAATATACCCTTGGTAGTGAACGTAACCCTTGGTAGAGTGACCCCTCCCTCCAGCACCCTTGGTAGTCAATTAAGTGACGGAAACTATCGCGACTCATGGCCGCATCGTCCTTGCAATATGTGTTGTACGTGAGATCAAAGAAATGAAGTTGACATTTGTGCTGATTGCAGAATATCTCGATATTTAAATCGGGAAACTCCCTAGTAATAATAAAAATGATTTTTAATGGCGTTTCAGTTGTTCGCCGATACTGTTTATTAATACTAAAAAACTGTGTTGGTAAGGAGAGCAATAAGCTGAAAAACCACATCTGACGACGACAAGAATCGATACTATG